TACTTGACCCATCTAAAATGATAAAAATACTATGAAAGACATTTATAAGACTGTCACATAAATATGTGTTTTTGAAACTCATATATTTCAAAGACTTAAAGACAAAATAAAAAGCTAAAGGTTTGTGAATGTTAAAAGGTTTGTGAATGTTAAATGACATTGACGAACCTTGTTGGACAAAACTGCAGGGGAAAGACTGCAGAATCTGTAACAGAAATATAATCTTCAAGGTCTAGCAGAAGAATCCTTAAAAAGTTGAAAAGACCCATTCATGATTTAGCCTTTAGCCCCTAACTTGTGATTTTTTAGCTGTTTGGAAGGCTAATACCTCATTTAATAACACTTTAAATAACATAATATTCAAAACTTTAAGAGAATCAGTGGTATAACCAACTCTGCTCCACTTGGTTCAACAAATCAAGGACACATTTATTTCTTGGAACTAAAACCTAGCAACTGATTATACAAAATATTTAGTTAACTCGAGGTAAATATACCCATATGTCTGAACTCAAACTGTTGATTGGAAAGATTTATTTTTGAAAAAGTCTATCAATCAATGAAAAAATTATGTGATTCCTTTTTAAGTAAAAAATCCTGTCAAATCAATAAAAAAAGACCTCCATGGATGAACAACAACCTTCTCTGCCACCTTAAATATAAAAACAAACTCTGGCACTGCTATATATCATCAGGTAGAAAATGCCAATCGCTTTATAGAGAATACATCACTACAAAGAGAGTCCTTGAAATACAAAAAAAGACATGTATTCAAACATTTGAACATTTACTTGCTATCAACATTAAGAATCCAAAATCCCTGTATGCATACTTCGACAGAAAAAAAATATCAAAAATGATATCTCAACGATATTATATAATGCTACAAAGCAAAGTATTCCTAAATAACTGGATTTGCAAACACTCTTAACAAGCAATTTAGTTCAGTATTTCTACAAGAAAATCAAAATGATCCACTTTTAAGTTTTAACTTAAGCACCAATGCTGTTCTCTCAGATCTTTAAATTACACCAGCTACCATTAGAAGTATTTTACTAAATTTAGACACCAGTAAATCAATTGGAATAGATGGAGTTCATCCACGTGTATTAAAAGAGTGTGTTTTTGGCTTGGTCCACCACTTTTTAAAAAAGGAAATAAAACAGATTTAACCAATTACCGACCGATCTCTCTAACATCAGTGACATGCAAGATAATGGAACACATCATAAAAAGTGCTATAATGAATCATCTATATGCAAATAACTTAAAACATCCAAGTCAACATAGTTTTGTTAACAACAAAGCTTGTGTAACAAACTTCCTAGAAACTCTTTGCAACTGAATCATTTGCAAACCAATATAATCTTGTCAATATAATCACCCTTGATTTTGAAAAAGCTTTTGACAAAGTCTTTCACAAAAGACTTTTAGATAAAGTATTCAAAAATGGAATTGAAGGCAAAAACTCCTTTCTATCTAACCAAATACAGCATGTTGTTCTTGGTGAATCAATTTCAGAATAGGCTGATTTTGTGAGCTGAGTTCCACAAGGCTCTCGGTCCAGTATTATTTGTTATTTATACCAATGACCTTCCTGAAAACCTCTCAAGAATAACTCACTGCTTTTGATTAGATAGAAAGTCACCAATCCAGCAAAACATTTTTCCAATGATACCAAATGCTTCTAGTTTATGCATAAGATCTTGACGCAGCACATTGTTAAAAGCCTTAGGGAAGTCAAGAAAAATTATATCAACACATTGCTTGCATGCCAAAGATGAAGAAATAATATCCATGAACTCTAAAAGATTGGTGACAAGATTTATTCATAACAAAACCGTGTTGTTGTTCTGCAATAAGGCATCCTAGCTTATGATTGTAAATACAATTTTAAATTGTGTACGGAATAATGTTCCAAGATTTTGTACGAAGCAAACATCAGCAAAACTGGATGGTAGTCGGCTGAATTTAATCTAATTCCGGTTTATGTGCAAGGTTCATGATGTTAGCAATTTTCCAGGCATTGGAGACAGAACCTTCTTGAAGTGAGCTATGAAATATTTTTGTCAGAGGGACTGCTATTGCAATAGCTCAATCTTTAAGAACCCATGGATGCACAACATCTACACCTGGAGCTTTATGTTGCTCAACTTTGCTTTATGTTGCTCAAGACTTGCAAATTAAATCTGTAATTAAAGCTGTAGCTTGATTCCTAAAACTCGGAATTGGAGAAATAAGAACTTTTTTAACAAAAACAGATTTAAAATATAAGTTTAAAATGTTACTTATTTTGGGACTTGAAGTGATAGTGTCACCATTAAAATCATGCAAAGCATTGATTTGCATTATATTTCTTGCTTTGATTTTATGTAGCTAATAGCAATTTCTTTGCATTGTTGTAAAATATTGTATTTCCATAGTTTCTGATGGATTGCTTAGTGTTCTTTTTAACTTGATTGCAAACCTTAATGCAAACCTATTGTGAGCCTGCTTATGTTTATAGAGAACTAGTTTGACTTGGGATCTGGTTTGCTGGACTAAAATTCAGTGCTATTTTTGTGCAACTGATCATTCATCCAGGGTGGTTGAACTTTTAAAATAAATTTTTTACTACAAGGTATCCATTTATTGCATAAATGATTGTGTTCAATGAGGAAAATTTTGCAACATGGTGTTGTGTTCTTAAAAGAAAACTAAACATCCCACTCAACTTTTTTGATATCAAAATTCAAATTTTTGATGTCTGCTAATCTATAGTTGAAATTTAACTGCACAAAAACAGGTCTTTTTATTGTTTCAGAGGTCAGATGCCATTCAATGACAGGTGATGTTGGTTGGTGGTGTTGCAAAGTGGAGAAGGTGGCTCAATATTGGTTGGTGGTGTTGCAAAGTGGAGAAGGTGGCTCAATATTGGATATGCTGTTGGATAAGTCAGACATTAAGTCTGACTTATCCATTAAGTCTAGATAATTTTTATATTTGCCATTTGTATTGTAGAATGATGGAAAGTTAACCACTAGGAAAATAAAATGATCTTTGCGAGTATGCACAAATTGATGATCTTACAAAGTGGTGTCTACTGATGCGTATACTAAACCTTTATTCTATGTTATCTTGTTAAAATTGAAATCTCTGGCTAAGCGCATAAAAACAAATATTTTAGATTGTATCAGATGCTAAAACTAATGATCCTAACATTGCTCAAGATTTAACAGTGTTATAGATTGTTGTGTTTAAAAGGTGTTATTGTGTCTATAAATAATTCTTCTAATGTTACAGTACACCATATTTTCTGAGGCCTTCCATTGTTGTTAGCATACTTTTTATTTTGTAATCAATTTTTTGATTTATAAGTTTTTTGTTTGGTGATATATTTGTTGTATATCTTCATTCATATTAGTGTTTATAAAACAATTTTTTTATTTTATTTTATTTTATTTTATTTTATTATTATTATTATTATTATTATTATTATTATTATTATTATTATTATTATTATTATTATTATTATTATTATTATTGTTAAGTACTGTTTTAGGTGCATTGTCTGTCTTATTTATTTTTAAATATTCCTCTATTAAACATTATTTTATTATTGTTAAGTACTGTTTTAGGTTTGTTTGAAAAATAATTCTCTTTTATTCTAATGTACTTCATTTTTTCCCTCAGGCATTCACTGCTTGTGTGTGACCATTCGGCGAAAGTTTTTAAATAATATTGTTCGAAAAATAATTCTCATTTATTCTAAAGTACTTCATTTCTTCCCTCAGGCGTTCACTGCTTGTGTGTGACCATTCGGCAAATTTTAAATGCCAAAGTTTTTAAATAACATTGCTTGCTCAAGATTTAACAGTGTTATAGAGTCATTGTTGTGTTTAAAAGGTGGTGTTGTATTTTTCTATTAATAATTCTTCTAATGTTACAGTACACCACATTTGTTCAACAGCTTTACAGTTTAATTGATGCATATACAGGGGTCAAAATAGAAATATAACATTATTTCTGTATTTGTTAAAGTTAAAAGGTTATATGTGATTAGCATACAGAGATTTAAAAGGATTTCAAAGAAGCCAAGATATACATTTTTTTTTGTTAATCTAGTTTTTTTTCCTCAGATGTACCTTGGTTATATAATATCCTGAGATTGCACAAATTAATGATGGATTTGACATTTGGCATACATAAGTATTTTTGACAGTATCTTGATAATGAGTGCAATAAAAATTTATTTTAAGAATTGGTTGACAATATTAGTTCGATAGTTTGAGAAAAACATTTTAGTATGTTAGAGTCAGCACATATATAACTGTAAGGTTGGAAAGAGTTGTAATTAAGATTTAATGTCAAGTCCAAAGAATTAACAATTTTCAAATTACAACTGATAAATATAAAGAGATCATTATTTTAAAATTTTTTTACAAAATGTTTTTTTTATTTTTCCATTTGCAGGCTACTCCAGTTTTTCAACAATACTAGACCATCAACTTTATAAAATTCAAACTTTGCTGTAAGATTACAACAACTTCTAAATTTATCATCATCATCTGCATAATTTTTGTTTTTGATTTTGCATTTAATAGCTGATGATTGTCGTATAGGAATGAAACTTAAAGTACCATAGAAAAAAAAAAATATATATATATATATATATATATATATACATATATATGTATGTATATATATACTTATATATATATATATATATATATATATATATATATATATATATATATATATATATATATATATATATATATATATATATATATATTTATCTGAACACACATATATGTATATATGTGTATATGTATGTAAGTATGTATGTATGTATGTATGTATGTATGTATGTATGTATGTATGTATGTATGTATGTATGTATGTATGTATATACACAAGAAAGAAATTGATATATTAAAAGAAATAATTTGGAAATTTAATTACTTTGAAATTAAATTTATTTATAAGGTTCTTTATGAAAAGCAATTAAAAAATTATACCTTCAGCCCACACAAACGCATAACTGATGCAGATAAAAAAATAGTCTCTGTTTCTATCGTATTGGTTACAGTAGCAAGATTTTCTTGATGAAGAGTATACTTAATAGATAGTTCTAAGGAACCCTTGCAAAGGTTTTTATCATGTAAAATCGGAATACTCAACTGCTGCATGCTGGGACTTCCACTACTGGCATAAAACAATGAAAAAATCTTTGATACTCCTAATGTTCCCTAAAAATTAAAAATGACATTGAATGTGAAATTGAAGCATCACTGATGACATCATACTTAAACAGCAAAACAAAGAGCAGTAGTATGTATGTTTGTATATGTATGTTTATTCATCTATGTATGCATGTATGTATGTATGTATTTATGTATGTATGTATTTATGTATATATATATATATATATATATATATATATATATATATATATATATATATATATATATATATATATATATATATATATATATATATATATATATATATATATATATATATATATATATATATATACTGAATATACGTCATACTGAAATAGCCTGCTGCTGGGGGCTTCAGTACATACATTGACAGACAAATAGCCTGACTCACAGTGGAGTACTGCTATATTGACTGAGGGTTTTGGATGGGGTAGCAATCGTTTCATTTATTACTCTTCGTTTTTTTCTTCTTTTTCTAAAAAAGCCGTATGGGTTAAGGTAAGCAAAAAAAGTGATCAAATGCTTATAAAAATACACTTTAGTAAGTGTATATATATATATATATATATATATATATATATATATATATATATATATATATATATATATATATATATATATATCCTAATAGTGTAGTCGTAAGAGACTTTTATGTTAAAAAAAAGTCTCTTTCGACTACAATTTTTTTACCTCGTCTCTTAAGCTGCATTTTATTGCCGTCGAAATATCAAAGCAATTAAATTAATGCGGAAGTACATTAAATTTTATTGTTTTTTAAAAAAACCGCAATAATAATGACGAGAAAGTTTTTTTAATTAGTGGTGTTTTTGTTTTTGTTTTATTAAAAAACATTTTTAAAACATGCGTAAGTGTTGCTATATCGACTATCTTATAGCCTGACTCACAACGGAGTGCTGCTACATCGACTGACATATATATGTACTAAATTTACTACTACTAAAACTTCCACTACTACTTGTATACATATATTATAAGGATGAGTCACATAATCATCATCATTTTATCACTTCCGCACTTGCATGTTTCTTATAACGCAGATTCTCCAATAATTTTTTCACTTATATTTTTTAGATGCTTTAGACTATAGACATATAGACTACATAATAATAACTATAGCCTAAAAATGTAACTTAAATACATAAAAATGAAAGAAAAAAGGCCATTTACAGCTTTTAAAGTAGGGAAAGAAATCTATAACTTGTTGGCATAAATATTATTTTCATTAGTTTTTAAAAAATTATACTTTTCCAAAAATTTAACAAATAATGTTAAGTGGATGAACAAAGCTAGTTTACACTATAGAAGCACATAAAAATAATTTTCATGTGTTTAACATCCTACAAAAGAATTTGTTTGTAACATATTACATGGCTGACTGCTGAGAAGCAAAAGCTTAATTTTTTTTTTTATTTTTTTTTTTTTTTTTTTTTTTAAATTCTTTTTTATTACTTTGCTGATTTTTTATTTCAAGTTTTGTAATTAACAAAAATTTTGGCATTTTAAGGGATTCCTAAGTGCAAGATAAACACAGCTTGTTTAATTTATAAATAAACATTAGAAAATATGTTTTGATTTAAACTCACCAAATTATCAAAATAAATAAATTGTTAAAAACATTTCTTAAATTTAAGTTTTTTAAGAAATGTCTGGTAAACTTTTAAATTTATATCTTTTTAATATTACATTTGTTTAGTACTTATATTAGCTTTGTTTTTAAAATAAAACAAATATAAGGTAGAATAAGACTTTTAAAAGCGTTAGTTAACTTATAATTTTTATAAGAGTATTATCATTTATTATAGAATTTTATATACAAGGACAAAAGCCTTTCTTTTAGCATGTAAGACTTAAATGTGTTCTAATGGTTTTACCAAAAAGAACTGCAGAGGAGCATTTAAAACTTATTTTTTTGCAACAAACCGTTTTCTATGATTTTAAAACAAAAATGATCTTAATAATATTTAAAAATATTTCACTATTAACAATATTTCTTTTTTGTTCCTTAGTAAGCTATAGTTGAAGTTCTTTTTGTATTACTAAGCAGATGTAACAAAATGTAAATCAAATTTCAAAACAATGCATATTTTCATTGATGTCAACAATAATACATTAATCAGACCGAAATTTTTTTAAAAAAGAAAAAATCAACATGCTAGAAATTTCCTTCGTAAAAAGCAATATAGCATTAAAAACAATGAAGTTTTTTGTTTACATCATATGAAATATGTTTTAGTTTAATTAACTATCAATTTATTTTCTTAAGTTTAACATATGAACACAACTTGAATTATTTCTTTGGGAGCCTTTTAATTTTTTAAAACTTATCTAGTTAAAGGTCTCAAATTTTGTTTGTGTTTTTCTCAATTCCATACTAAAATTTACTTTACATTGAAAAAGGAAACTATTAAAACCTTTAAAAGGTTTATAGTAAACTTAAAATTTAGGAATCTTTTCTGTGAATCTGTTGGATGTTTATCCTATCAAAAAAAAAAAGGTTTAATAATTTAATAAATGCTCCAGTTTAAATTAACTCTTAAATGTTTCATTAGTCAATTGTAGAAACCTCAAACAAAACCATACATTTTCATCAAAAAAGTTAAGCAAGAAGAAACATTTCAATTTTATTTTCACACATAAAAGAAATGCCTACAAAGTTTCTCATTCTTAAATAATGAAGTTTGACTTAAGAATGTAATACAAATTTGATTGTTGTTTAGCTGACTACATGGTTTTTAGAAAATCTTTTTTTTTACCTGTAATTATTATTTTGTTTATTTTAAAAAGTGTTTTTTTGAGAGTTGGAGCAGAAAAACATAACGGTTTTAAATAATTTTTCAGAATGTTATCTAAAAGCAACAGATCATTAACCCTGTGACTTCAGCGAGCTACGATCGTGGCTTTTCCGTAGAGGTGCAGTGTGCCACAATCGTGGCTTTTAAAACTGATCTTTAAAATTATGACCTTTATTGCAAAAAATTATTGCTTTTCTAAATATCATTCATTATTTATACAATGAGGGTTAGAATTTTTTTGTTTATAAATTTTGTAGATGTAATAAAGTCAAAAATGGCATCAAAATTGTTTTTTTTTCTATTTTCGGTTTTTTTAGTTGAATTTTTCTAAAAATCTTTTAGTTTTATCAAGCAGCCAAAGGGTTAAGCTTATTTTTTCTTTGATTTATTAAAAATAAGCACCGGCCTTACCCCATTGGCGGTTAGCAGAAAAGTAAATTTTTTTGATTATGCAATAAAAAATCACATTGAATCGCACTCAATTTTTTGATAAAAAGTAACTCATAATATAATGTCCAGTCATTCCCTCTATAAAAATGACAGCATCGCAATCACCTAACTAAGTAATGCATTTGTAACTAAGCGCCCCCGATTTCTTGTCTAATTACCGAAATTTACTGCATTACCGAAATTAATTGAATTGCTGTAACACCGGTGCTTAATTAAAAATGACTTAACATGAGACAAAATGGCTGAGAATCTGCTCATAAAATTAAGACTTGTATCAAGCTTATATTAGATTTAAAAAAATAATACAGAAAACTCAGATTTAAATGTAAAACTTTATTTAGAGTTTCTTTCTAACATCTTTTATTTGGAGTTGTTTTAATTATAAGTTGTTATGGTGACAACAACCTATAATTAAAAAATGAAATTTGATTTAAAGGAGATTTAGCGAATTTTCTAAATATGAGTTTGTTGAGTTTTGACAAGTCTAAACTATTTTAATATTGATTATGTTGAATAAGGTAGTTTTTGTCAGAAACCAATCAGCTTTTACAAAGGTTTAGAACCAATTAAACTTTCTAAATGATTAGAGTCTGGAAATCTTACTTTTTTTAAAAAATGGAAAGTTTTTTCAATGTCTTATTCTATTTCTAACAAACCCAATGTGTTATTCTTGGTCAAAAACAACAGCAGATGCTTCCTTAACACACCTAACAAAGTGTTCTGTTGCGTAAAAAGTGTTCTGTTGCATGAGTAAAAATGAATTTAAGAACATAAAATTTCAAACAATTTATAGATCTCAGCTTGAGATAAATGTAAATATTTATTCATATCAAACTTTAAGATTTCTAAAAAATAATTCTTAAAGTTAATCACAATGTTTATCTTAAGAGATATTATTTTATTCATATCAAACTTTAAGATTTCTAAAAAATAATTCTTAAAGTTAATCACAATGTTTATCTTAAGAGATATTATTTTATTCATATCAAACTTTAAGATTTCTAAAAAATAATTCTTAAAGTTAATCACAATGTTTATCTTAAGAGATTTTTCAAGTAGCTCTTCTAGCTCATAATTTCCTCTAATTTGTAAATTCTTTCTAAAAGAAAACTTTTTTTAATTTTCTTAAATTTATACTAAACAAACACTATACCCATTTGTATATTTGTATATTATATATACAAATATGTCTACGTTTGTAACAAATTTTTGACTTTTTTTTATTATTAGATTTTTGATATTAAATTCAACCAAATGTGTCCTGGTCTGGATTGCAGCATATGTTTATAAATATAAATTTTAATACATTTTGAAAAAACTCAGCTTGTTTAAGATCTATAGCTTACTGTACTTAAGGTTATGATTTCTTGTCCACAAAATCATCAAAGCCTAAATCTGTTGTAACTTATGGCACAAAAATTATTAACAAAAACTTATTAACAAAAACTTATATCTGCAACACATTTTAAATTTTAAACGTAATGCCTAAATTTTTACGCAGATTTACATCTGCGTACAAATTTAGGCATTACGTCTGTGTACCCGAGTGATTAGCACGCTACACTCTGAAGCAGGAAGTCCAGGTTTGATTCCTACTAACTGCTTTTTTTTTTTTTTTAATTTAATCTTTTTCAATTTTCTAAAATACAAAGTAAAACGCAAATATTTAACAAAAAAAAAAAAACAACTGATAATTTGAACTTGCCACGCAGCAACCTTTTTTTAAAACAGTAAGGGGGTTTAAAAAATATGTTTTTATTAAGAACATAATTCAAAATTCTAACTTTATATTTAAAATAAACTATTTTATTAAAATTATAATTTTTAAAAGTAATAAAAAGTTAATAATAAATAATATTAAGATAATAAGGAAATTTAAAGTTTTACAGCTATTTTACCACACCCCTGTTAATCATTCTAAAACGAGTGCGCAATAATGACAGAATTTAGATAACTATCAAAATAGTATTATATTCTGTATAATATTGGAAGGACTCAGACGCTTTTAACACAAGGCATTGATGATATGATGTATAAATGTACATGCAGTAGATATGATACACAGGTGTACACGCCAATTTTGTATTTTCTATTTTACTTTTATAAACTTTTGAAATATCTTTGAATCTTCTATTATCATTATGATAAAGAAATGATTATTGATTATACTTTTTGTAAATAGTATGCATTTTTAAATTTTTTAATTTGTTTTAAAGTTTTTAAAGTTTTATTTTTTCATGTTTTACTTAATGAAACTTGTTCTGTTTTATAGGTAATTTATTGAAATTGTATCATCACAGGATGTTAATTTTATTGAAGCTAAAGTTGAACTTAATTAGTATTTTTGTAATTGGTTAATCTACCAATTGTTAATTGATGATGCAGATGTAGTTAGTATTTTTTTTGTAAAACAAACTTTATATATTTTTTATGTTATTATGTATAAATAAACTGATTTGCAGTTAATAAATGTGGTGTATTTTTTCTTTTATTTAATTCAATTAATTTTTTTAGATTAATCAGATGACGTGTTTGTTCAATATACAATTGAAAACTATTGAAAACTTTTATGTTTTGTTAATTTGTTAATAAATATGCAAATAAAAATATCTTTTTTTTACAAAGCTGTTATATATATTGGATATTTTTAATAAAACTCTCCAAAATGATTTGTATTTTATCTTTTATATATGTATTTGTACTTTATTTATGTGAATGAAAGTCTGTGCAAACAACCTGTAAACTTCAAGTTATTTAAATTATATCAAATTTTACAGATTTACTTTTACTTAAAAATTTTATTTTAATTTTGATTATATTTTGCAATATCTTTTTAAATTTGATTTATAGCATTTATATGCTATAAATGTTTTATAAAGTTTAATAAGTCTTTGGTTTATAAACAGCTTTAAAAGATGATAATGCATGCTAAAGTGGTTGAAGTGCTTTGTGTGGCTTAAAATCCTTTTGCTTATAAACTTAATTTGTTTTTTTTTAGTTTTTTCTATTTTTCTAGAATAAAAAATAAAACATTTTTAAAACTCTATGGATATTATATGCATAACATATAGAAAAACATTACATACTATAACAAACGAAAGGGAGAGAATTTTTTCAAAGCTTTTTAAAATTTCTAAAAACATGAAAACACCATTAGAAATTTTTGGCTTATGTTATAATAGAAATAAAGATAAATTAATTATAAGCACATAAAGTTTATGTGCTCATAATTAACTTATTATTGTTTATGATAATTACCTTAAACTGTTTATAAGCACATTAACAACTTTCATTGTTAATGTGCTTAAATAATTAGCTTGCACATTTAACATGCATTAAAAAGACAACTTTCTTTCTTATAGAAAAAGGATTTTTAAGGCAACTTTAACTTTCTTTAAAATTAACAGGGCAAGAGACCTAATAAGCTGCGGATGGTCTGAAAAAATTAATAGAAAATTAATTTTTTTTTTCTTTATTTTTGTAGAAGTTACAAAGTATTAAACATAAATTGTTAACTCAAAACAAAGTTTTTTATATTTTGCTCTTTTTTAAAACTTATTGAAATAAAGCAAAATTACTAAAATGGTTGGAGTAGAATAGACTTGTAATGACCAGAATACAGGTCATGGTAAGTCCGTTATTCCACATATTTATGTCATCTCATGTTTGTTTTTTAATTTTTTAAACCGATGGTAATTAATTAAGACATTTAAAGTGGGTATTCTAAATATTATTTAGACAGCTACTAATATATAATTAGTCGATAAATAGCAATTTGCGCAATGGCTACCAAAACATTTAAAGAAGTTAATTAATTTTTTTTTTTCAAAGCTTTAAAAAGTAAACAATAAGTATAGTTTTTGTATATGGATATAGTTAATTTTCTGCTGCCAATTAAAAAATATTGAAGTACGGAATAAGCATAGAAAAGGTTGGTGTGGAATAGATTTACCAAGACCTATATTTTACTGGTCCAGACAGCTAGTAAGTAATATTTGTCTAACCAGGTTAGACAATTTTGTATTAAAATTGCTTTAAAACTTGATAAAACCATTTTTCATAAAAATTTTTGTCTAGAAATATAAAAACTAAAAATCGCTATTCCTTCAAATAATAAACTTCTAAAATTGCATTCTAAAATTCTATACATACATACATACATACATACATACATACATACATACATACATACATACATACATACATACATACATACATACATACATACATACATGCATATATACATACATACATACATATATATATATATATATATATATATTTACATATACATATATATATGTATATATATATATATTTATATATATATATTTATATATATATATATATATTTATATATATATATATATACATATATATATATATATATATATATATATATATATATATATATATATATATATATATATATATATATATATATATATATATATTATATATGTATATATATATATATATATATATATATATATATATATATATATATATATATATATATATATATATATATATATATATATATATATATATATATATATATATATACATATATAATTTGACAGTTTGATATTCAAATTACGTCTAGTTTTTACATTCAAAGTACTGCTACTGTTCAAATACTCTATATAAAGGTTAGCATGAAAATAAACATGAAATATTTATTTCATAACAAACATGAAATATTTCAAAATAAACATGAAATATTCATTTTACAACAAACATGAAATATTTATTTTACAATAAACATGAAATATTTATTTCACAATAAATATGAAATATTTATTTCACAACAAACATGAAATATTTATTTCACAATAAACATAAAATAAATAAATTTTACAATAAACATGAAATATTTATTTCACAATAAACATGAAATATTTATTTCACAATAAACATGAAATCTTTATTGTCAATAACTTTTCTTCTGTGATCAGGATGATATTTTGAAATCTGTCATAAGTTAAAAAAAAAATAAAGTATATAAGTATAAGCATATTTGTCATTTGAACTAAAATATCAGTTATTTGTTATTGATGAGTAAGAGATAAACAAAGGGCAATTACTATTTGATTTAGATGACATTAATTTTGCATCCAATAGATGCATTTTGAAATAAGGCGATAACTTATAAAAACAAAAGAAATGAAGTATTCGGTAAAAGCATATCTTAAGATGTGAGAGGCCTACAAAGCATATTGTTTTAAATTTTCTGCTTTTAAATTTATTCAACTAATTATAAAATTAGATAATATTATTGTTACACAATGGTAAAGGGGAAAAAAGAGGGTCAAGAAGTTTGTTACCACAAAAATTTGTTAATAACAGTCACAATGGCAAGAATGCACCACTTATATTTAAAGCTTTCATAAAAATATAATAGGATATGAAGATATCTTTTTATCTACACAAAAAATCAATTTGTGTAGGCAAAAAAATTCAATAAAATTATTTATATTGAAAAAAAAATCTAATAACAAAAATCTAAACTTTTATTAATAAATTTGAAATGATGAAACTTTTAAATCTTTAATTTAGTTGCAAAAAAAAGTCATACCTTCCCAACAAGTAAGTCACTTTTTTGAACATCACAGCTTTGTTTCCATATTTCAAAGATGATATCTGTAGATCTGTGGGTATTCATACACTGAAGTAAACATTGTTGTAACTGTATGTTAAACGGAAGAGAAAATACGTGTCGATCTGTTTGTGGATTTGACATTAATAATCTTGGTTTTGTTTGAAAATAAGACATTTTGAAATCCCCTAAAACAAATACCATAAATATGAACATGAATATTGAAAAACAAATACCATAAATATGAACATAAATATTGAAAAACAACAATATTGTCATGAAGACTAAAAACTTCTATTTTGAAAAAAAAAATAGCAGGGAAAATTTAGTGAACTTTAATTTTGTGCCATGTTAATATAAAAATAAATATAACATTCTAAAAAAAAACATAAACATCTTGATAAGTTATATTAATAAGTTTGTATAAAGATAAAAAATTATTTTATGTCTTGCAAGAAACCCCACATAAATAAAAAACTAACTGCATTATGTCAGAAAAAAATGTTTTTTTAAATTAATCACTTTGCATTTTGATTTAAAAATGAACAAGGTAAGTTTACATACCATAAAATGGAACAACTATAAAATAATATTGATTTTGTATTTTACTTAAAAAAAAAATTCAAAAATAAAATAAACCTTAAAACATATTTTTGCACAATTTTTTTAAATATTTTGTATTGATTATATAAGATCAAAGTACAAAATAATTTATTTTTTTTAATATTGGTGGTGTTAATTATTTTAAAATATTTTAAAACATGCGTATTATCTCAATATGAGTATTATTTGCATATATATCTCAGTATGAGTATTATTTGCATATATATCTCAGTATGAGTATTATTTGCATATATATCTCAATATGAGTATTATTTGCATATATATCTTAATGAGCATTATTTGCATATATATATCTCAATATGAGTATTGTTTGCATATATATCTCAGTATGAGTATTATTTGCATATACATCTCAATATGAATATTATTGGCATATATATCTTAATATGAGTATTATTTGCATGTATACCTCAATATGAATATTATTTGCATGTATACCTCAATATGAATATTATTAGCATATATCTTACTCTGCCCTAGTTTTTTTTTAATTGCAACACCATTTTAATAAATAAAACATTTAAAATAGGTAATCCTTTTGTAAAACAAACATTTTATTAGAACATCCAAGTAAACACACCAAAAAGTTGCTTAGGAAAATTGTACTTGATATAGCATTCAGCATCTCTCCCATCTGAAAAAACTATGTTTAGTTTTTCAACAGCAATTTCAATTTCATGAAGTACTAAACAAAAGTCAAAAAACATTATCATAAAAAGTCATCTAAAATATATGTATGTGACTATAAAACAATTTTACAAAAAAAGATTTGAAAAAAATTAGTTTTACCACTTGAACTTAGTTGTGTAACATCAACTTTTCTAAATATAAACCACTTTATTTTAATTATCTAAAAACTACGTGAAAAAAAAGAATGAAACTAAATGAAATTATGAATAAAAAATACTTTAAACTTATTGTGTTTTTATATTTGGTTGAAGCAAGTAACCTCTACAACTATAGTGGCCCCTGGACCTTGGGAAAGTGAATATATATTTAAAAAATCTGTTTATTTTAAATTAAATTAGCAGAAAAACTTACCTATCAATTCCTTTCATTTGGAGATGAGATACGTGCATATGAAGGAGATAACTTATCTAAACATTAAATACTCATATAGTTAATGACTTGATTGGTTAAAATATAAATGTATACAAAAGTAAAATTAATAATAAAAAAAGGTTGAGAATTTTCAAAAAACTTTCTTTTTAAATAATGTACTTTTATTTCATATTTTTAATTCATATTTCTGAAAAATTGGTGTTGGTGGTGTTAGTTTTCATTTAATAATAATGAATAATTTCAGATCATATTATTAATAACAAGATATAATGTGAAGATGTTAAAAATCAAACCAAGTTAAGACCACAACCAGCTTTGACAAACAATCAGCAGTAAGACATCCTTATAACTGCACAAATATGTATTTTTAGCATAATGTCAGTCATTTTTTATGGCAGATAAGAAGTATTGGTCTTTATTCAAAGTATTGCATGCTGTCTTGACAATTGATCCCTGAGCATGTAATTTAACTTGATTCATGCTTTGTCTGGTGTATCTTCAGCAACAAGAAGGTAGGCTTTAGCACAAATCAATTTTGCTACTACCATATCCAGATGCAATCATTTTTCTATTAACTACTCTATTGATTTTAAAAATATTTTTGTGCAAACTTTTTTTATTTGAAAAGGAAAATAGACAAAGATAGAATTACCTGTTTTAGATCCCTAATATAGATACTCTGCTTTACAGTATAATATAATATCTTATGTAGATCATACTTTTACACTGTGTATTACTATCTACTATAATTTAATCTATAAAATACCTGTTTAGGTAAGCCAACTGCAATCAACAGTTTAAGATTGCCACTCTCTTTACCAGTAATAAGATCAAAAACTGGCATATGGCTATCACAAAGAATTACTGGACACTAAATTAAAAAAAGCATTATAATTAACTTTTTTTTTAATGAAGCTATATTAAGTAAACTAATATAGAATACCTGTGATTTTAGAAAGATGTCTGCAAGATCACAATTTTTAAATACAGTAAATAATGTTTGAAGTGGTACTTTACAAATACCTAGTAGCTATAAATATGAGACAAAAAAAATACAGTTAATAATGTAAATATAAAGCAGAAAATATAATTGTATTAGAAAAACTAAAAAAATGTTAACTACCTTATCTTTACCTTGATTTAAAGGTTTATTCCATAATTCTATAATCAAATAATTATTCTCTGTTTTATGAAAACTTTTTGTTTTAATTGAAACAATCTAAAAATATATTGAACATTATTATTATAAGAATTAAATGTTTTATTATATTATAATAGGTTTTATTATATTATTATAGGTTTTATTATATTATTATAGGTTTTATTAGATTATTATATTATTTTAAATTATTTTTATAGGTATTATTATTATTATATTACTATTATAAGAAACAATAACTATTAAAAAAGCTAATCGGCTCAAAACTATTAAAATAACTAACCTGCTCAAAATTAAACTTTGGACTGCATGAACCCCATATCACTTTTGTTTTCATCTCATAATCCACCCAAAAAACTCGACATACACAATATAGATTCCAATGAAAACATTCATTAAAATTCACTGATCCTTCATAGATTGCAATGAGATTTTGCAACTCATTGTCTAACTTCCCTAACAAAATTTTATCTTTTTCATGATGTATTCGGAGGGACTTACTACATTCATGATGCATTCGGAGGGACTTACTACATTCATCATTTCTAATTAAATTTTTCTCTGGTTTTTGTAAATAATTTGAAGAATTATTAACATTGGGTAACAGCTCTATTACAATCTATATTTAAAAGAAAAAAAATCGTCACCATAAAATGTCATTACCAAAATTTTTTTTTTTAATAAAAATATTTTAAATTATAATACTAAAACCTGCAAATTCCCAATCGAAACATATTTATCTTTGTGACTGTTAGCATGTTTGTCAAACATATCAATCATGAACTCAGTAGCAAGATTTTGGTTTATTGCAACATCCTTTAAGCTCAGAGAACCATTTCCAAAAAAATCCGGTTTATTGTTTCCATATTTTGCAAAAAGATTTAAACTAATGTGGCAATTTAGCCAATAATTAATTGTTTCCTCATTAAAACTAACTGGTAGTTCCAAGCACCTATCAAATTTTACACAATTGCCATCTTTAGAGCGTGATACTAATCTCACAACTTCTATGCTCTTGTGAACAGGAAATTTAAACTCGACATAATAAATTGAATTTTCATAAAACTGATACAAATGAAGTTCTCGAACATGAACTTTTGCAAATTTAACTTTACTTAAATTAGTTATCTGATCTATGCTCAAATTTTCTTTGCTAAAATTATTTTTAGGTTCTTTTAAATAGATTTTATTAGATTCTAATAAAATGTTGCTATTATTGTCACTACTATCAACACTGCCATTGTCATTATTATCTTCACAAAGCAAATCTTTATCCTCATTTTCAAAATATTTACTTTGTTTTTTTAAGGAATGAATAGACGTTTCTTCTCCAGAATCTTCTGATAAAATAACTGAACTTTCATCTAGTTTATTTTCTTTTTTCTTAGTGTAGAAAAGATCTGACAATAAAGAGGAATCATGAAGCGGATCTCCCTCTTCACTTTCTATGACACTATGATCTGAAAGTTGCTCCAATAAAATTTCATCTTCATTACCAAGTACAAGATCAATAGTTTTTCTTTCCATTATTTCTACAAGATTTTGATTTGGGATTTTTTGAATTTCAACATTATTGTGATCCTTAAAACCACTATTAAAAAAAAAAAAAACTATAAATAATAACCATAAACAAATAAATAATTAAATAATCCTGGTAGAGAATTAACTCCATATTTGACAAAGAATCTAGAGTGCAGCTATGATCATTGATCACTACTGCACTTAAATATTGTTATTGAGCTTATAACACTATGTAACACAACTTTTGTTCCTGGCTTCTAAGAGTTATATTTCAAATGCTTATGTCTAAAGTATGTGAAAAAATGACTTCATTAAGTACAAACTTTGCTTACACAACAACAGCACAAAGAAAACTCATTTTTTTGTGAAAATATAATGATTTTTTTTAATTTTCATCATTATGATCAGTTAAAAACAAAAATTGAACAAGTAATAAAGTAAGACAAACACAGTTGGAAACCACTCAATAAGGTTCAGAAATGTTTAGATTTTCTAGATTTATGATTGTACTGTTAATCACTCTCTCAAAGTAGCCCCCAAATTTAGTCCCCAATCATGTTTTCGTTATACTCTTGGTAATAACGTTTAAAGACCAATATATTTTAATGAAAGCGCTCGCCTTGCTCCTCTGAGTAAGTGCCCAAATCAAGGATATGGATTTTCATAGACATTCTGTATTCCATTTTAGCATAATTCTTTATTAGAGTCTGCACTTACTTCACAGTTTTCAGCTTTGTGATTACCTAGAAAGCCCCAAACAAGCTCTCTCTATCCTGTTCAACAGCTTTGCAAAATCCTCACATTCTATGATCTAATTGATCTGTGGTCTGACAAATATACCAGCCCTGACTTTAGCCCTGGACAGCTTTGAAATGCTGCTGAGTCCTTGTCAATAGCAGTGACAAATTGCATAATAAGGCCTAAGTTGATGTGCAGCGGTGGCATAAGCATTTTATAAGGTTCTATCAGCAGCTCCTACTTCACATTGCTCTTCCCAACAGATACCATTTAGAAGTCACTGATTACCTTCCATCCATAGTCATTATACTTTAAAGAACTCAGCAACATTTTGACACTGGTGTAGCCCTCTTTGAGATGCACAGAATGGTTCATCAGGAAAGATGGGTAGTTGTTTCCATTGTGAAGCAACACAACTTTGAGGCTCTCAGATGAATTGTTTATGAATAGGCCCCATTCAATAGAATTACATGCAATACCTATACAGGCTTGGTCAGGAAGCGAGAGCGATCGCTCTCGAATACTGACCACGGAAATTATATTTAGTTGCGATAAACTGGCCAGGTTTTTTAGTCGTTTTGAGAATATTTAAGTTTATGTATGAAACAAAAAATTTTTCTTTTACGGACATACATAGAAACATAAAAAACTTGAATGTTCTTAAAAACTTTTGGTGCAAAAGAATAAAAAGAATATTTGCGAACACTAAAAACCCGCCAAATTAACGAACAAACTAATTCTATTGGTTCAAAAAATACGCTGACTAAGCGAAAGTAAGTTCTAGAGTATTCTGTTGAAATGTTTTAGAAATTGTATTATTCAAGATTTGTTACGATTTGAGATTTCAAACATAAATCGTTTTAAGAATATATATTATTTGTTTACAAAAATAAATGTTTTAAATATATATTAATTTAATTATCAAAATTTTAAAAGTTTATTATAAATTATAGATTTTATTAGTATATTCTTATTTTTTATTTAAAAAGTATGTATCCTTTATGAAAATGTAATGTTGTGTGTCTGTTTTTTATTGTAAAACATACTCTGTCAGCTCTTGCCAAACTCATGAGATAGCAAACTTCATGGCTCGCTTCTCTCCTCTGTATCAAAATTTAACAACACAAAATAATGCATAAAAATTATAATAATTTGATGACAGGAAATTTCAAAATTTGGAATGATTTCAAGATAGAACATATTTGCCTACAGTACAGGACTTATGACAAAACTTTGTAAATTGCAACTTCTTGAAACGAATTTGCATTGAAATTTTATGAAAATAAATTAAAACAGATCTATGCAAGAAGCAACTGCTCAATTTACCTTCAAATGTTTTCTTGCAATATTCACATGTGAAATGCGGGGCCCAAGATTTGTCTTGGTCCCCAACAGGCATGCTGAAGTGTGCCTTGTAGCCCTTGCACATTATGCAATTTGCTTCCACGGAATACTTTTTCGCTCTTGTCTTTATGAATTATCCGCAAACAAACTCTTGATGCCATATCAAAAAACTAACTTCTCATCAATTACGAATCGCTATCCTTTCAGTCTGCAACAACACGAATTGGAATTTTGGTTCAAGACACCTGTGCTTTTAGCTACTTTTTTATAATGTTCAAGAACGTTCTAGAAAGTTTGAAGAGTTTCTTGAACATTCTAGAAGTTTCTGAAATCTTCTAGAGTGTTTATGAAAATTGTAGAAATATCTGGACAACTCTAGCGATTCAGGAATATTATAGGAGAAAGCTTGGTATTGAAAGCAAATCTAGAATTTTCTCAAAAACACGCAATTTTCCAAGTTTCATTGACCCGGTCACAGAAGCAAAGTTTTTCTGGAATAACAGCAATTTTCTTTCTGTTCTAGACCTAAAGGGATAGAAAAACCACTCTTTCAACCAAGAAACAGAAAAAAAGTTTAAATTTGTTACATAGTGTAATTTGCAACTTTTTTGTATATCAAGTATCCTCATTCTTTGAAACCAATAAGAAGTCAAAGAATGAGTTTACCTAACCAATAAGTGTTCATAGTATATCAACAAAAAAGAGTATCAATATCTAAAAATGCTGTTGCTAACAGTTAGAACATGTTATATTAGCCTCAATAAAATCAAGCAAAGCTACCACGTTTGTTAGAAAAAGCTATTTTTGGTTGTTCAATAACAAAATAATTGTTAAATTAGTAACACAAAAATATTCAAAATTTTTTAACTTCATATGTCAAAACTTTATTAATAATTCATACTCAGTTTATTAATAAATTCATACTCAGTTTCATTGCATCTAATTAGCTTGGAATTTATGCTTGATTTTAGCATAGCATCTCTCAAATGCTGACCTTTCACCAATAATGTAGTTAAAACATTGTCACTTTCTTCCTTATTTAAAGTGGCATCTGAATACATACAAGTTGAAACTATTTTACCAGGAGAACTGTTTATTATTTTTGCTGGTGAATGATTCACAACTTCTTTAGGAGTTTCATCTAAATGTATGCATATAAATATTTATATATATATATATATATATATATATATATATATATATATATATATATATATATATATATATATATATATATATATATATATATATATATATATATATATATAGGGCTCAATTTAACGGTCGGACATTAGACATTGTCTGGTTAAAACCTTAGATTGTCCGGTCAATTTACAAAGTAATCGGACATTTTGACTGACGGTAATTAAATTCTACAAGTAAAGCTTGGGCAGGAATGGCGTGCGATTGAACGCCATTCCTGCCCAAGCTTTACTTGTAGAACTTAATTACCGTCAGTCAAAATGTCCGATTACTTTGTAAATTGACCGGACAATCTAAGGTTTTAACCGGATGCTGACCATGAAAATGATTTTTTTTTTTGTTTACAAGTTGACCATGACTGTTTACAAGTTGACCATGACTGTTTAGATGTTTGGATGATTTAAATGCACTGAAAAAAGAAACGTTAAGATAAACTTAAACTAGGAAAAAAATTGAAAAACTAAAGAATAAACAAAACAGTTCCTACAAAAAAGAAAATAAATTAGCTTTAAAATAAAACTAAAAAAACTTAAAGTTACTTACTTTTTGTAAGGTTTTTAATTGCATTAGAAACAAATTTCTTTAAAACTTATTTTTTTAAACATTTAATTAAAGTTCGGCAAAACGCTTTTACAAATTGCTTCTATTAATTATTTAATAAATGAACAAATTTTATTTAAATTATTGAAAAGTGAATATAAATTATTGAAAAGAAAAAAATATATTTTCAAGTTGTATAAACATTTTTTTTCAAACAGTTGCAAAAAAAAATTGTTTCAAAAATTAACGCAGTCTTTTCAAAATCATTTTTAATCATTTCACGCTTTAAATAGTCAAGTTAAATAAAAAAAACTCTTAAACAATTCTTTGTAAAAATAAAAACAAAAAAAAAATAAAGCAATTGAATCATAGGAAGATTTAATTTATTAATAATTCAAAATAACTTTAAAAAATATTCTTTTAAAAGATTTTTTGAAATTAAATAAATTTAAATATAACATTAAATTTACACTTAATGCGTTTATATTTCAAACAATCATTACCATAATTATAATTTATTTTTGATTTTATTTAAAGCCTTCACGTAAAATAAAAACTTTAAAAAAGATCAATGATTAAAAGTTATTTGTAACGTAACAATTTTTTTATTACATTTAAATCAAAACATCAAAACAGCTGTTGTCAAACTAAAAAAAAAAAAAAAGCGGTGTCAGTTACAGCGTGAAACGTTAAGTCTATCTAAAAAAACTATATAATAAAATACAATATTAAATTTAAACTACATTATAAAAAAACAAAATCTGCAATTAAATATTCTTAATAATAATGAAAGAAACTACAACTTCACTGAACTAACATTAAAATAAACTGTATAACATGACAAAGATTTCCATTGTATAACTCGGTTCCTTAAAACCGTAAAAATTATATCTTAAAAATTTGATCGGGCACTGCCCGACTCAAACATGTTTTAATCGGACATTTTGTCCGGGACTTTTAAATTGAGCCCTGTATATATATATATATATATATATATATATATATATATATATATATATATATATATATATATATATATATATATATATATATATATATATATATATATATATATATATATATATATATATATATATATATATATATATATGTATCTTATTATATATATATATATATGTATCTTAGGTTTTATGTATTCTATATATGTATCTTAGGTTTGTAAATTAATATGATTTATTACATGATAAATTAACGTGAAAATATTTTTTAGGAATTTAAATTATACATGCTGAATTAAATCCTGGAATGAGTGTCCCTTTTGGATATAACTGGTTTTCCCCTTGTAATTTTAGATTTTGATTTAGAATCCAAAATAACGTTTAATATGTTGCTTATAATATATTCTGATACATATCTTTTGAGTTGAATTTAACATCTTTTTGGTTTCAAACAATAGCCACAGTCAGGGGACATGTAGAAAAACGAAAGAAACCTTTACATTATAGATTTACAGCACATTCCGCCAATAAGTTATTTTTTAAGCTTTTTCGCAATATGCTTAAAAAATAAAAGTTTAATTTATTATGTTAATTCTTATTATAACAAACTTTTTAAACTTCATCTCTATTAACCTTTCACCATTCTGAGGCTAACTTTCTCATCTTTGACTATTACGTTATGAAAAATAAGAAAAATTTTAACTTAAAAAAAAATAAGAAAAGTACATGTGGGGTAAGTAACAAGACAAGAGTTTTACATTTTTTAACTCAATAATACTTTTATATGCAATTTTTTTTTTAATATAAGTTTTTTAAAAAAATTTCCATGTTTTCCTATTATCAAATTAATAAATTTTTTAATTTAAATACACTCAAGTTCAGAAAACTCTGATAATGATTCATCGTCGCTTAACTGACCTTTGTGAGGCAAATCGTTAAAATACTGCTGGGCATCAGGCGTGCAGAAATGTTTTAAAACTTGAAGGTCAACATACTTTGCACAGCTGATGGGCAGTCTCTCATTGTACAAGTATGTAGGGGATTTTTGTGATAATTGCTTCTTTTTTCCAAAGCTTTTGCTATAACAACACTTTCAAAAAAGGTCCATTCCAACTGAGTCTGTATTGTAACATAGTAGGGATTTCTTGGGAGAAAATAATTTCACAAATAGTGTGTTAGTATCGGACAATAGCGTGTTGGTATCGGACATTTGGCTTTGTAAAATGGTTTGATATGTTCAGAAAAATTTAGGAACATGTTCAACTCCATCTTAATAACTTCAAATGGTGAAGGGTTCTTACGACATGTACGAAACTCTTCCATCCAATTTAATGGTAGCTCTGCTTAAACCTTTTGGTTAACTAATGCCATATCACAGTCACACTCCATGTAGCTATGGCCCCTTATCAGGAATGATAGTATGATTAGTTGAAATCATTTCTTATTCACTACATTAAAGTGTAAAAAACGAATAATAGTCCAATTCTTATTTTGCCAGCACATGAATCACAAAAAAGCTGCAAATATGATATATCCTTTGGCAAAATGCTTACTACATTATCTGCTCTCTTTTTACCGTAAGTTTCATCGTAACAAAATAAGTGTTTGATCCTAAGCAGTGTATATTAAATGTGTACATAGAAACCTGTCTACAATAATAAACATTGTTTGTAGAAACATTAGGAAAACTTATATTTTTAGCTCTTTTTTAACTCATATTTTAAACTTATATTTTTTCAAATGCAAAAGCTCCATGGCCAGTTTTTGCATTACAACGTGCTTCTTTCTTTCTGGCATAAAACATTTCTGCTTTCCGCAAGTGAAACTCTTTTTCTTGACAACTCTTGATGAGTTTTTATACTGAGGTACTTTAGTTTTTAAGTATAATATTGAGCATATCATATGTAGAGCATGTATCTTTACAAGGATAACCAAAGCTAATGTTAAACTTTTCTACAAATATTTTCCTGGTAAAAAAAAGAAAGTAGAAAATTAGATAATATCCAATAATATTCTTAAATAATCACACATTATTAAAGTACCTGTAGCTTTCTTGGTAAACTTTATACTGTGGGAAGCACTCCTTGTACATATGGAACATTTTTAATAAGTTAAGATCATAAATACAGCTTTTTTGTGTCATGTAAAGCATAATGGCTTTTTTGTCTTTTAAAAGACTTGATATATTCAATAATAATAATAATATGGTCTGAAAACGCTAGAGGTCGATTTGTATGTTTTCTATACTGGTTCTTAGGAGAAATATATATATATATATATATATATATATATATATATATATATATATATATATATATATATATATATATATATATATATATATATATATATATATATATATATATATATATATATATATATATATATATATATATGAATATGTATATGTATGTATATCTATATACATATATATATACATATATATATATATATATATATATATATATATATATATATATATATATATATATATATATATATATATATATATATATACATATATATATATATATACATATATATATATATATATATATATATATATACATATATATATATATATATATATATATATATATATATATATATATATATATACATATATATATCCAGGGGCTATTCTAGGAAAAAAATATGGGCAGCGGTACTCCTCCATCTTGGAGAAATTTAGCAGAAGTATTGCCGAATATTCGTGGAAAAAAAAACAATTTTTGCCGTAAAAAACATAAAAAAAAAAAGCTCCTTGATTTTTAATTTGGGCGATACCCAAATACGGTTGACGCTGTCGAAAACGGTCTAGAATAGCCCCTGATATATATATATATACACACACACATATATATATACATATACTATATATATATACAATGAATGTATGTTTAGATAACATCACTGATGTCACACTGAATTAGTCTGCTGCCAGGGGCTTCAGTATATACATCGACTATCTTATAGTCTGCTGCCACAAAGGAGTGTCGCTACATCGACTTAGGGTTTGGCATGTCTTAGCAATCTTTTCTTTCATTATTCTTTTTTTTTTCCTCTTATGCTATAAAGGTAGGAAAAACTAGTAACAATTTGTATCTATATACATTATAGGAGATATGTTATATGCAAATATAAATATATATATATATATATATATATATATATATATATATATATATATATATATATATATATATATATATATATATATATATATATATATATATATATATATATATATATATATATATATATATATATGTATATATATATATATATATATATATATATATATATATATATATATATATATATATATATATATATATATATATATATATATATATGTATATATTTATATGTAATAAATAGTGTCTATATTTGTGTGTGTAAATATATATATATATATATATATATATATATATATATATATATATATATATATATATATATATATAATAAATGCATACATATATATATATATATATATATATATATATATATATATAAATATATATATATATAAGATACATATATACATATGTATATATATATACATACATATACATAATATAATACATACATATATACATAATAATTTTTAATAATTAATTCAAAAATATAGTTTATTAAAAGGATGCTAGAATCATTTGATACTCAAAAAGTATTATCAATGGAAAAAGCAATATTTAGAGATTTAGACAGTTCAGTAACAACATAAATTTAAAGGTATCATAGATGAATAATGCTCATGAGTGCGTGAATTCTGATTATCAAATAAAAAAATAAAAAACAAGAAACACAAAAATCCAAAAATGTATTTAAACACAAAAATACAAAAATTACTTTAAAATTGCGTTAAAATCATCATTTGCTATAACTGTATCATTTTTTGCTAAAATTGTTTAAAGGAATCCTCACCTAACAAACCATATTGAGAACTTCTAAAAAAGTTGACAATTTTATTCAGCAAACAACAAAAATTTTGCCAACAACAAACTTCCATTTTTTCCAATAAGCGTATATTATTTCAGTAAAGATATACTATACACAACAATAATACCAGTACAATAAAAACACGTTTTCTCATGCTCCAATCACTTATCAATAAAAGAGAACCAGAAAAATATTATTATCTGTCATGTGTGCCCTTCTATATAGTTGCATGTATTATACAAGCAACTACACAATACCCATCATACAAATTAAAAAAATGTTAAATTGCCATAATGCCACTAAAAACGGTTAACAAATGAGAAAAATAGATCGCCTGCATTTGACTCCGTTGTTAATTCTATTTACGATGTCAGCCATCTGTATAGGCTTCAGTACACAGATGGACTGGGTGTTTGGGCTTGGGCTAGCAGGATCTATATAGAAAGGATATTTCTTAAGATGCACTTCTAATTCATCTTTGTCTGAAAAAGTGTCTAGATTATTTAACATTTAAAAAACTAAATTGAGTATAATATATAGAAATGGTACTCAACCTAAATCTGCTGATCTTAAATCACTTAAAAATTTGATTTTGCAGTCTAAAAATTTGATTTTGCAGTAAATCTTGTTATATTACCAAAACAAATTGTCAATTAATGGTACTTTTATTTTTTAATTATTATTAATTAAAGGTATAAATAATTAAATGATAAAGACTATAAAGACTATAGGAAGAACAAAACTCATATATTTGTAATCATCCTCACTTAAATGAAACTTGCTTTGCTAAATTTAATTATGATCGTTTATCATGGAAAGTATGTATATAGAGTTTAATAAATCCAATACTAAAATGACACTTTCAATTTAGTTTCTTCAAACATCACTGGTTCTTTTATTTCTTATGTACTTTTTCAAAAAGTTTTTTTGTCTTTATCAAATCCCAGTCAAGTAATATTAATTTTATATGTTTTATCAATCAAACAACAAAAGACTATATTTGTTAAAGACCTTTTGTTAAAGACCTGTATAAAACCTGTATTATTATGTATATTTTTTGTCCGCTAATATTCCTCTATAAAGGCTTTCATTTTTATAAATTTACTCTAGAGTTTTATTGTAAAATTAAATCTTTTGAAAATGTAATAATTATATTATGAAACATGTCAAGAATAAAAACTGTTATTATTTAAAAATTTATTTTATATTATAACATTACATTGAATTCCCACCCTAATTCTGAGGGCTGTATATATATATATATATATATATATATATATATATATATATATATATATATATATATATATATATATATATATATATATATATATATATATATATATATATATATATAAATATAATATATACATAAATATACAAATATATATATACATATATATATATATATATATATATATATATATATATATATATATATATACATAAATATACAAATATATATATACATACATATATATATATATATATATATATATATATATATATATATATATATATATATATATATATATATATATATATATATATATATATATATATATGTATATATATATATATATATATATATATATATATATATATATATATATATATATATATATATATATATATATATATATATATATATTTATATATGCTATTTCCAATGATCACTTACAATTAACTTGTTGCTGATCTTCTAACTCTGTTTTTTTATTTATATGCTTGGAATTGTTTACAGATGAAAAATCTGTTTTGGAAATAGTTTCTTTAGATTTAGAATTCTAAAAAGAAAAAAATACTGTCTAATTGATGCCTAATTACATGTTAATGATTAATCACCTTACAAAAAACACTTACCCAACTTTTACTGTGAAACTTTTTTGGTTGTTTTAAAGGCATTCCTTCAAACTGTTCATCTGTAGTAGGGATTATTGAAGATGCCATGTTAAATGTATCTTGAAATTTATACAGAATTATTTTTTAATATTTATTTTAAATTTTAAATAGCCTTTAATAGTTTATTAGGTTTGACAATCTCTAATCTATCAACTTTAACATTTTTACAGAAACATTAGATAAACTAATTACTAAAGAAACATTGGATAATCTATTATAGGTTTACTAAAGAAAAATGTATAAAGAAACAAGTTGAATATATACAAAAAGAATTTAAATAATAAAATTGAAATTGATCCTTACTTTTATAAGATCATAAAAAAATTACAAACAATAAAAAGAAATGTGAGCTATGTCTTGCTTTAATGTATCGCTTGTTTTAAGTGCATGCAAACCCTATTACATCCCACGTCATTCTTTCAGAAAATGTTTTGTCTGACAAGGTTTATAAGTTATATAATAAAAAAAGTTGTAATCCACCCTCTAATTTTTGGAGACAATGAAAATAAATTTTTACACTATAACCTTATAACTTTATAATTTAATATCATCATACATAACAATTTTCTAACATTCATACAACTTTATTGTTTAAAAATTCATTTTTTATATAATATTGAATTTAAATATTGTTTCATATTTATACTATTATTCATTCTGAACAAAGTTGTACAACTCTGTTCACATAAATTATTAAATTTTCATTTTAAAAATAAAAAAAGTTAATTTTTCAATAAATAAATAAAAATTTTCTGCACTAATTAACTTAATTTTTATTTTATTTTCAACTTTTTTTTTTTTTTATGTCTGCTGATGCGCCCTAACTAACTTTTTTTATGTCTGCTGATGCACCCTAACTAAAATAAAACTAAATTTAAAAAGTTTTTGTTAAACTTGTTTTTAATGGTGCACCATTACTTTTGATTATTTGACATATTTGTATACATTTATATTATATACATATTTGTACATTATATTTTTCTAACCTCACTAACAATGTTTTTAAAAGTATATTCAAAATAAAAAGAAAAGAAGAAAATAAAAGTTTTGAAACTAACATATGACTATTAAAGATTTGCTTTAAAAAGAGTGTCATGCAATAAAATCTGAACTTACCTTTTTTATTTGAAACAGTTATTAATTTTGTAATTCTTATTTTATTTTGCTATATTTTAGAACCAGGCTGACCAATTTTTTGGATATTTATGGGGGTTGCAGCGCGACTAAAAATAATTTTTTAGTGGCACTCCAACTCATAAAAACTAAATTTATAAAATCAAGTATTTTAAAAATTAATGTTATTTTATTATATAAACCACTAATGACCACTTGCAAACTTGAACATTTATGCACATCCTCAAAATATTAATTAGAGACTTACTTCTTAAGGTACTGAATATGTTATGATATTTTTTTATTGGTAACAATAAAACAATGATTTTTTTAAACTAAAAGTATAATCTAAATAATAAATATATCATTAAAAAACCTTTCGTTTGGTTTTCTTCTTTGGTTAGTAAAATCATTTAAAAACCTTTCATTTGGATTTTTTTGTTTAGTAAAATCCTTTAAAAACCATTCTTTTGGTGTGTTTTTTTTTTTTGTTGGTAAAACCATTTAAAAAACTTTTAGTGTTTTAAAATTCCTATACGTAATGGTCTCAAATAAAAATATGAAAGGGCCTATGTCATGGTATACATAATGGTCTCAAATAAAAATATGAAAGGACCTATGTAATGGTATAAGCAGAACAATAAAAAACACACAAAAAAAGAAAAACATGATGTTTTCATTACATAAAGCCATCAGACAAAAAAATAATGTAAATGACTACATGGTTATTGTTGTACTAAATTACTTTAAATAATGCAGGCCTTGGCAGGAGTAAATGAGTCTGAGAGCAGAGAAAAGCTCTCCTAAAACCAACATGGCTCGCCATGTTGGTTTTATAATTGTTACTAGCATATGTTTGTAACATTAATATTACAATAATATACATATAACAAGCGCCATTTATTGCGCCATGAAAAAATTCTTTAGACGTAAAATTTTTTTGATTTAGCAAAAACTGCTTTTTTATTATCCAATGAATTAAATTTTTTTGACTTATTACAATTACAATTTAACTTTTGAGAGAAAAAAAAAACACTGAGGCCTGATAATGCAAACTCATAAATATTATCACAAATGTAAATTTCTTGGAGTATTTAGTGCTTATTGTTTAAATTAAGTCAATAGAAAAATTGTAACTAGATAATTAAATTTGTAAAATGTAGTCAATCCAACTAATTGGATTGACTGTGTTTTATAAAACTGCATTGAATCCTCCTAATGATGATCAATTAAGTATTTCACAACTGTATCTAATGTATATATATTTCGTCTTAAATATTTATCTTTATATACCATACAAAAAATATTAAACATACCTGATATTGATTTGAAAGCAATTGTTATGGATAATGTGCCAACCTGCTTTCTTTTCAAATTCACAGTCGAGCAGATCAATGGATAATGACTAATATATAGTGTAGTTACGTATAAGTATAATTACCCACAATTATATTTATATGTATATAAATATATATATATATACACACAGATATATATATATATATATATATATATATATATATATATATATATATATATATATATATATATATATATATATATATATATATATATATATATATATATATATTCTCTACCCAACAAAAACATATTTTAAAAAAATCTTTTAATTTAGCATTCTTTCTTATAAAAAAAATATTTTAAAAATACCCAAAAATTGGTTTGCTTGCAGTAACTTGGTGAATATTTGGTACTTCAATCTTGGCAAAGTCTGCACATGTACGCCCATATACAACATCAAACAACAAGCTCTTCATATCTTTAAAGGAGAAAAGATTGTTTGATCAAGTTTCAAAAGTTTCAGGTCAAGTTTTAAAAAGAAAATACTGTCATGGGGGTCAACAGGAGGTGCACCTGATATTATGTTGTTAGCTTCAGGCGAGTCACTGGTCAAAAAAAACCATTGATCAATTACATGTGTGTTACAGCAACTAGGGTTGATCCTAACGCCATTTGCCAACCCTGTCAAGTAGTTGGTGATTGTCAGTGACAAAAAGTGAATAATTGAAGGTTAGATCAGTTAATATGGGTTATAGGTAAGAAAAAAGTAGAGTGAAATAAATGGTAGAAAAAAAGTATATAAAATAAACATGTTTACCTCCAAATGACTTGTTAAAAAAGTTTATTGCAAATTTTTTTCTTGTAAATGAAGAATGTTAATACAATTATTTTATGGGTCCATGTGAAGAAGTCTAAGGTGTTTTAGTAGCAAAAATATGAATAAATTTCAGATAAGATATTCAAATAAAAGAGTTATCTTGTTAAGATTTGCTATTAGAAAGCCAGTGCCTAATATAATTTCAGTATATGCACTTCAAACAGGTAGGTTAGTGAAGAAATTTTTGAAAATGTAGAAAAATCTACTCTAAAAAAGGTTGAAGAAAATGAGAGACCTGTTTGTGGAGATATAAATGGGCAAATGGTTTCAAAATTTCAACTTTCAAAATTTGTTTTTTTAATTTGGCAGATAATTTTAACTTGTAGCGGAGTGAAATAAACTATTCAGAGGGCTCAGTTGTTGAAGATGTTGAAGGCTCCAGGGACTGTAGGTTGTTGTTAGATATTTAAAATTCAATCGTACATGATGACAAAAAAACATTTGAAAGAAAAGTTGGATGGTATAGATTTATAAAAAAGGCAGAAACACACTAAAATGTGGTTCATATCAAAAGATTGCTTGACTAGGTTATTTTTAGAAATTACTGTTAACTAAAAAGAAACAGAGCATTTATCAATAACATGCAGCTTATTTATAGGCCAAGAAAGGGTAAAAACATAAGTAATATTTATTGAAAGACAAGTTCAAAAAAGATTTTTAGAAGAAAAAAAAAATGGTATCCAGTGTTTTAAAAGAACAGAGATGATGATTAAATGGATGCCTGGTGTGACTTTTTTTTCCTGGTGTGAAAAAAAAAGCAATGACCTTTGATAAAGATTGTAAAGGTATATCTAATAGGGCACATCAAGAAAGATTAGAATGATTTGAGCATGTAGAGCATAAAGATGCATATGTTTGCAGGGCCTATGAAACAAGAGAGCTACATTTCCCCCAAAAAAAGATCCTCAAGATCAGATATATTGAAGAAACAGTATTATGTGAGACCTCCAACCAGTTAAAAATGCATTCAAAAAAATAAACTTAAAAAGTTTACATACCTGCTAAATATGCATTAAATTGCTTTGGTCCACATCGAACAGGATAATGTGCCTCAACACATTTGTGAGTATTATCTAACCCATTACCATTTTCTACAATTGGCCTATAAATAAATAGTATCTAAAATTAACAATAAAAGCATTAAAAATTTTATCAAAGAAACACTGATAAATTCTGTTTTACCTGCATCTATAAATACATATCTGTAAATACAGATTTGAAAATATTTTTAAAATTTGAAAATATTTTTTAATCTGAAATTTGGCAAATATATTAGCTGCAGAAAAAATGTTTCATGTCTCAATAACTATATTGTGAACACAAATTGTTTTTGAGTGAAAGTAAATATACACATTTATATTAGGCTTTTCATGTTTGACTTTTATTAAAGCCATAACTTAATGTTCCAGATGCATTTTCACAATTTCATAATATACATAGTAAACCAATTTTTGAATTTTATTTCTTTTTATTGTTTTTTGATTTAAAAAGTAATTTTAAGATTGTACATCCTATTCATTAAAAACACAAATCAAAGGATCAAACTTGGTTTAAAATTGCTTCATATAGTAAACACATAGTGAAACTGTCTCAAATCACAAAGGTTGCTATAGATAGTGTGTTTATAGTTCATACATTCAGCCTAGGCGGCTTATTGCGCAAGCAATCTGTTTTTACCGGAGCTATTGATTTGAATCCTTTTTTTTTTATTGCCAATGATGTATGTCATTAAAAACTTATTTAATGTGTTTTAAAACACAATAAATTTTGTTAAATTTACATAATCATTTTATAACAGAGCTTATTCCATGATAAAAACTATGCTACTAAAATATATATATGAAAACATTAATATATTAATAAATGTAAAAAAAACTCAAGTATATTAAATCAAGAACTAAAACTTTTCTTAAAAATATCTTTTTAAAAGACCATCATTATTTGGTGTTTAAGTTATTTAAAACCTGCTTTATTGAAAATATCAGTTATTTAAAAAGTTCACAATATTAGTATGCAATTTAAAAAAATAATTTTATTTGCTTTTTAAAATAAATTTAATAAGTTTTATTTAAGTTCTCAAGACATATGAAAGAATTTTGGGAGTTTATCAGTTTCAACAGCTTTTTGGTGCAAGTAAATCAAATTGTAAAAAATCAGTTAGTTAAAACGATGATGTGCATATAGAAACTGCAATAACTTCCTAATAAATGTCCTAATAAATCTTGTTTATAATTTAAAAAAACTTTTTAATGAATGCTCTTTAATATTTTTTACAGATTTAAAAAACAATAAAAATAGCTTATAAAATATTATAAGAAAGTTATATTAATGCACTTTTGAACTATTAAAAAATTTGTACGCAAATTTTCAAATTCAAATAAAAACTATTGCATTTCTTATCTAATATCAAAACTTGGTAAAAAAAATTTATAAATGTTAATACATTATCATTATAATTTGTAATTAAAATTTTTTTTTTTAACTGTAAGATTAAAATCTTATAATTTTATGTCAGTTTGTAAAATTAACTTTCTAATGAAAATGTGTGAAAAAGAAATAAACAAAGTAAACATCAAAGCTGAAAATAGACTCTAAGAAACAGATTTGCAGCAAGTGCTTAAATGGTATAAACCTCAATAACATCTCAATTACTGTTTGTGTGTTTCACAAAGATTATAAAGAAGCTTATCCTATTGTCAATAAAACTGGAACATTCAATATAGTTATGTAGTTGATAATTTTAATAGTTCTTAACTAATAATACTTGTAAATATGCTTTAAGCAGCTTTTATTAACAAGTTTTGAGGGCTCTTTTTGGATTATTATTTTATATGAATATATACAAATGTTTGAATAAATGAAAGTTTTATTTATTGAAGATAAAAACATCATTATTCGTTATTGTTGTTTTTTTGTAAAAGAAAGATTAAGAAAAATAAAAATTCTTTTAAACTACTACATGTCATCACCATGACAAAATATTGATTTTGCTTTAAATCCACTTTGAGACACATGACTATTGGATTTAAGGTTTGTTTAGTCAATGGTGAATTTCTTTTTACTTATTAATACTCTATCAAAACCCTTTTAGTTTATGTTTAATCCTTTTATAACTTATTACTAATTTCTCTCTCTCTCTCTCTCTCTCTCCCTCTTACACACTCTGCAATGAAACAAAAATCTAGATCGAGCAGCTTTAATGCTAAACTGGCACTCAAATATTTAGAAAGAGCTTAACCCAAGACAACATCATACTTACACAACTTAATTTATTTTAAACAGGAAAAAATGTTTAATTTTGGTAATTTAAAATGAAATGTTCCATAAAACTGTAATTAAACACTATAACTAGAAATAAAACTTAAAAACGCTGACATCATGTTGGTGTTGTTGGTGAAAAAAATGTAAACAAACCTCAATAAAACACAGTTAGAAGTATCCCCCCACCAAAGAATTTTAACTTGTACATCTTTTGGAGGTCTTGGAATGCACCATTTTAAAACATCTACTTTAACAACAAGATAGCATCGAAGCTGTCCTTCTACTTGTGGTGGTAAGCTCGATCCGACAACAATCGCCATTTTATTAATAAGTGTTAACGTTTTATTCAAACCCTTTACGATTAACTTAAAGTTAGATTAAAAATAAAGTATATTTTAATTTATAAGAGATTAAATGTAAAAAATTATACACGACTAAAAAATTAGTTTTATTTAAATTAGTTTAGCCTTTTTTTTTTTTTTTTTAAGAAATCAAATGTCTATTTACTATATTGTACGCCGACGTTGATGTAAACAATGTTGTAAACTTTACAAGAGACTTTTTTCTAATTATAAAATTTGAAAAATTATTTATTAAGTTATTCCAAATAAATTATATTTTTTTAAATAATTTACTTTTTTATTACTACCAGTTAACTTTATTTCAGCAATGGATATATTATATTATATTTACCTGGTGAGGCCATAACTTTACTCTAAAAGCAATCTAGTTATGATCAAAGGAGCTATGAACTTAATGCCGATAATAAAGCACACCATTGTTAAATATAACTTGTTGAGAATTGCTTTTGAAACAGTTATAAAAAATTGCTGACATAGTATTACTATCAAGTGAGGTTGACAACGTTCGACTACGGATATAGGGGGAAGCTATTTTCATCCAACCAGATTACGTTAAAAAAATAAATGCGCAAAGACACTAATAAATTCTCATGTTTGATAATTGCTTCACTATTTATTAATTTTTTAGTTCAGTCTGAAAATAAAACGTTTACTTTATTCTAAAAATCAAAAATTGGGTTAATATCGGTTATTTGGAAAAATCTAATAATACACATCATACCCCCTCTTTTCTCTTCTCCTGATTTGTCACTGATTATTTAAAACAATAAGTTACACTTTTTAAATGTTAAACTTTTAAAAAAAAATTATTTAAAACACTCGGTAAGTATATATGGCTTACATGAGGCCACAGTTTGTTTAAAGTCTGAAATTATAAATGATTTGATGATCGATATTGATACTTAATGTGGCTCACATTAAGTGTTTCACATAGTTATGCCATAGTTGTGCCACTTGATAAGATAAACTTAGATTACGCACTAAGAAAATAGGTGTAGCTATCATATGAACTACATAATTTTGCCACTTCATGTAGTATAATCTTTAAACAAGAAAGGTATATGTTGCCCATATGTGGCCATATATCTGATGATTAGTTTCTGCCCACTTGCGGAGTACATAATGGAGTTCATATAGTTATGCAAATTAATTTAAAAAAAAAAAATTTTCTTACTAACCTATATCAAAATTTATATTCACTAAACAAGTTTTGAATTTTATTAAAGAAGCATTTAGTGCTTTAAAGATCAATGCTGTTATGCAACAATGTGTTATCCCACATGAATACGTAACTGAAATAATTGAATTTAAACATTAAATGCTTTGTAATAATAGCTTTTTTTTTTTTTTTTTGGGTTAATTGCAATTAGCAAAAATATATATTTAAAAGATATATTTTAATTTTTTTTTTTTTTTGTAATTAGTCCGTAAAAATTTTATCTACGTAAATTTTTTTTGGAATAAAGGTGTAGGAAACATAGAATTACCATCTATAACTATTACGAGACAACCTTGTGAGAGTAGGCGGTGAACCAACTGTTGCTAAATAATTGCAATATTCTGTTTTAAAGTTTTTAAGAATTTTAGTAAAGTTATTACGTAATAATTAATAAATAATATTAATAATAAATTAATGTATATATATATATATATATATATATATATATATATATATATATATATATATATATATATATATATATAAATATAATAAATATATAATATAAATATATATAATATAAACATAATACAAATATATATAAATATAAAAATATATAATAAAAAAAAAAAAAAAAAAAGTAAAAAATTATTACGTAATAAAAAAATTCATTAAAAATAAATAAAAACTTAATTTTAACACATTGTTTATGTTGTAAAGTTTCCTCTTAAAAGCAAAATTTAAAAGCACATAATACCTACATATCAACATATAAGCAGCCGTGGCGCAGTGGTTAGAGTTCTGTCTCAGAACCCTAGGGTCCAAGGTTCAACAAATATTTTTTTTTTTTTTTTTTTTTGTAAAATACATACAAAAAAAAAAAAAAAAAGTATAGTCAAGTTACCAATGCAAAACAGTCAAATGATTTATTTTCAAAAATTATCAGTTGGTGTATCATCACATTCACTGTCCGCAAGGCCGGCGCGATTGAGGGGTGTGGGGGTGTAACCCCCCCCCCAATCAATGATTTTTTCGTTCATCTAGTCGACCTTTTTTGAATAGTTAGTCGGTAAATGTAGACCCTTTCGACAAGTTTGTCGGTAAGTTTAGACAGTCAGTCAACAAATGTCGTTATGGCAGTCGGCAAATTTTAAAAAACGAGGACCTTTTTTTTTATTTTTTTAGTCGGCAAAATTTGTAACGCCCCCCTCCTTCCCCTTGTGACACCTACTCGCGCTGGCCCTGACTATCCGTTGAATCGAATCCTAATTAATCTTTATTGTCACTTTAAACTTTTATTTCCAACTTGATATGGTAGTGTTACATTAAATTCAAAACTTACAACGGTAATTTCCCGGGTTTTTTATTTCACATTTTTACCAAGAGCATGTTGAGCGAATCTATATTTGCATAAATAAGTGATTTTTTCAGAGGAGCAAATAAAAATACAAGTAAAATCTCATCAGTAGCATCGCGGTAATATCCCGATGCTACTGATGAGTTTTTACTTCTAAAAAGAGGTTTACATATTATGTAAACATATGTTTAGAAGTACTGTGACCAGAGCTTTCATCACACACGCCATTCCTAATTTAAGTGAATGACATAGGAAAGAAGACATTTTTATGAATTTTATATTGAGCTTCAATTAAACGTTTTGTAGTTTTATAAATTATGCCTGGTAGGCTTACCGTAATAGAAATATGTTCATCAGAAACGGTATAAAAAAATATTTTTCAATTTGTATAGACTATAATGAGATGAAAACACTAAACTATCTGCCTTTTATGACCATTTTTGCGAAATAGTAAGCAAAAAATATAAAAAATCAAAGCGAGGTTTCAGTTTTTACAAAAACGGAATTATTCGATGTAGCAACACTCTCTTACATTTCTCCCTAAATAGTATGGTATCTGGTCTCCGTTTTTTTAATAATCAAAACCTCATTTTGAGACCTGGTATCTTTCGCTTATCGCCCTAAACAAAGAAGTTATATTTCAAAAAAAATGGTTGTAATATAATTAGCAGCAGTGGTAGAGCATTTGTCTCAGAAACAAAGAATCCTTGGTTCAAACCCTATCTCTGGCGACATCGGTTAAGAAGGAGGCGTGAACTTCCAATTAAATGCTCATCCGCGGTGCTCTGTGATAAGGCCGTAAGGACTTCTTTGGGCACCTAAATAAAATTAGAATAAAAAAAATATATATATGATTAATTTGATTCGTTTTTTTTAATTCGGACGCATTAGGAGTTTAAAAACATAACGACGAAGTTTATTGATAGCTATAAGTTAATATAAGTTATAGGATAACTATAGCTTATATATATATATATATATATATAAGTTAATAAGATAGCTGTAACTTAAGTTAAGTTACAAGTTATGATATATATGTATATATATATATATATATATATATATATATATATATATATATATATATATATATATATATATATATATATATATATATATATATATATATATATATATATATATATATATATATATATATATATATATATATAAAGATAAGTTAAGTATAAGTTAAGTTAAGTTGTGTTTGTTATTTATGGCGAATATCTAATTGAATAATATTTTTTTCTTTTTGACGCTGGAGGGGTAAAGTTGAGCAAGGCATCTTAATGTATTTTGTATCCGTCATTTGTTCATTATATATATGAAAAAATAAAATTAAGAAAAAAAAAATGAAAAGATTGTGCCTAATTATTTAGGAGAATAAAAAAAACAGATTAAATGGGGGGAATAGGTATCATTTAGTCAAATCTTTAAGTAGATGATATATGGAGTGCTCAAATCTAAATTATTTTTGCATTAACTGTTAGAGCATTTTATAATTAATAATATTTCATTCATATCTAAAAATCGACTAAAATTAGAGTTAGATCGTTTTTGCACCTAGGTCTTCAGTTAGACAAAAATAATTTAAAATTATTTATATATATTTAAAAATTATTATTTTATTCTGGAAAAGCTATTTTTGCCACAATTATTGAAAATAAGCAAGGTATAATTTTTTAAAATAATTTAACATAATTTTAAATTGGTTATATGTTGTGACATGGTTATATATATATATAACCATGTCACAACATAAAAAGGTAGAGATTAGACTAACAGTTTTGTTATATGAATGTGTTTAAAAATGTTTAAAAAGTGTTCATAGTTGCCCCTGTTGATAGTATATATTGATATATATAAGTATATTGATTGATATATATAAGTATTATATATATATATATATATATAAGTGATTATAATTGATATATATATATATATATATATATATATATATATATATATATATATATATATATATATATATATATATATATATATGTATATATATATATATATATATATATATATATATATATATATATATATATATATATATATATATATTATCAATGAGGGCAACTATGAATATTTTTAAACATTTTTAAACACATTCATATAAAAAAACTGTTAGTCTAATCTCTACCTTTTTAGTCTAATCTACTGTTAGTCTAATCTCTACATGGCTTCAATAACTTCAGGAGAAAAATGTGAACAAAAATTATCAGCAATGTCATTCTGGTTTTTAACACAGCAATTGGCAAGAATACCTCCATGAACCATCTGGTAAATGTTCTACCATCAAACCACCCATCAGTTGTGATATCTTATACAGTTCTAGGTGGTCCACCTTGAGTCCAATCTTGGTAAAGATGCTGTTATAATTAAAATTAATAAGGAATACTACTGCTTTAGGAAAAGCTCAATTAAATTAACCACAAATAATAAGAACTACAATCAGTTGTAAAAACCATAAAAAATAAGTCCATCAAAATAACAAGTACTTTTTGCAATTGTCACTCTCTGGCTGTATTGGAAAAATGCTGATACGTTGTACATCCATACTTTGCTGGGAACCAGATTACACAGTTACAACAGTCCTCTACCCATAAATCATTCATACTGTTCTAAATATGCTGATTTATGATGGGTTTGACTTGAGCTTAAGTTTTTTGTAGTAACAGGCTCAGAAAACCAGGTTCTTCACAAGGTCTCTCAGAACCAACATCTTTACTTTCTAGCTGTTCACATACTCTGTTAGGATCAATAACTTTGTTTATTAGGTTGCATTTCTCATACTTGTTTTCAAGGACTATTTATGCCATCTGCTGTTTTAACTAAAGGTTTAATGCACCCTTTTATGTCTAATCTGGATATGCCCAACCGATGTCAACACTTTGTAGTTAACATTTCCAATTGCTTATACAATAATGGCTGAGACCCATTTCTCACTTCCAAAATAATTCCTTACATAAATAAGGTGTTCAGGTTGAAAGAAACAACTTTTATTATTAAAAATATCTGGAAGTTGCTTTTCATTGACTTTAGTGATGACCTCAGAAAGTAGCATTGACAATGGATTTCTTAATTTTCTACCTAATTAAAGTTCAGCCAGAGAAAATCCAGATGTAAAATAGTGTTGAGGAATATTTAAAATGAAGCGACACAATTGTGTCTCCTTTTCTCAACATCACTTCCTTGAAATGTTCCATTTATTGGACCTGCAAGATCAATGTTTAATCTCCTCTATGGTCTACTTGGATATTCCCACGGATGAGACTCAGTTAATGGACACTTGATTTCTTTGGTAGGCCTCACAATTCTTTACTTTGTTCTTAATTTCCAAATCGATTCCAAGCCACTAGACATTACTTCTAGCTAAAGCTTTTATTTTACTCCTGCATGAACCTCATGTAACTCTTCTAATACTGTTTCTCGTGGCACTCTTAACACAACTACTCTTTGCCCCCGCAGCAAACAACATCCTTCTGTTGACAACTCAGGAAACCTAGATGTGTATGGTCTCAGCTCCATTTTACTCTCTTTCATCATCAATTCCCTATCTATCTAACACTTTATTTAGAACTACTCCTAATATGGTATCATTGTATATGGCTATCATCAATTGTTTCTCTGTAATAGGGATTTTTACTAGCTCCATTATAGCCACTTCCATGGTTCTTAACCATGACTTTTCTCTTGATGCATTTAATGGTAAACAACTTAAACCATCTGCAACTGCATTCTTTTTATCAGGACTATATAGCAGTTTATAATCATATGCTGACAGTAGCAGAGCCCAGCATAATACTCTTTTATCAGCTCTTGAAGTAAGTTCCAGAATAATAATATGGATAGTGAGAGTAGTGAAAATTTATATTTTTGTTTTTTTTTTAATTATTTATGTTGGGACTAGGGAGCTATGACTATTTTCCATACTAGACTTATATACACAGCCTTTAGGGTTATATTTTTTTTGGCTTATCACTTTTTTTTTCTTCATATTTTATATTTATATTATCTTTACTTATCTAGATTGTGTGTTGCTTTTAATATCATTATAGTGTATCACTCATGCAATTTTTATCACTATTTGATTATTAGTTTAATTATCACTATTACTTACAACTATGACTAAAATACATAGATACAGTTACATACATAATTGCTGTTACAGTGGGAGAATGCTTTTGTTTCTGGTACATATCTGAGCTATCTTTTAGAACCATAAGATAATATAAATCCTAGGTGTGGATGCTATATCCATCTTAGGTAATTTGTAGTATGTCTGGGTTGGCTAGATGTGTTTCGGGATTAGAAGTTTTCACGCTGATTTCTAGTAATATAACTATAATACTTGACTCTATTTTCCTCGGACATTCAATACTTTCTTTGACAACCATTGGTATGTGTGTGTATCTATGAATATGTATGTATATAAGTATCATATTATTTTTTTGTTGAGAATATTATGCGATAATATTTAGTGGTAGACTAAGGAGCTATGATTGCATTGTTACGTAGGCATACTTTACATATATGTGTGTATCTGTGTGTGTGTGTGTGTGTGTGTGTGTGTGTGTGTGTGTGTGTGTGTGTGTGTGTGTGTGTGTGTGTGTATATATATATATATATATATATATATATATATATATATATGTTGGTTTTTGGGTTGTCATTTTTTATACATATATGGTTTTTTTCTCGCCTACGTAATTTTTGACGTTTTACATTGTAACAGTTTCATTACTGTTTTCGTCATTATTAATATGTTTTATTTAAAACCTGTTTTTTAATTGGTTAGCAAGATTCGATCTAGGTATCTATGGTGGCTTTAAACGCATAGTTTTTTTGTTTTTATAATTTCATATATATATATATATATTTCTAGACTTTATTGGCTTGAGTTTATTTATCTAAAAAGTATCAATTTTAGCAACTTGTATTTTTTTATAAATTTTTATCTAACATTATTTATCACATTGGTTGTGTAGTTAAGTATTTATCTCATTGGTAGTGTAGTTAAGTATTTATCACATTGGTAGTGTAGTTAAGTATTTTGATTGGTAGTTAAGTATTTTGTGGTTTTCTATAAGAATAATTTTTATTATTTTATATTATCACTTACATTTTAGTTTGTTGTTTTTTGTTATTTTTGTTTAAAAACTTTATTTATATTTTATTTTATATATTTATCTTATTATCTTACATATTTTTTATTTTAAATTTGTTATATTATTTGGTATTGAATTCACTACTCTCACTATCCATATTATTTCTTCAAAAATATTAGTGCTTTACAAATTTGGGTGAAGTTAGGGTTTTGGCTGTTTTGTAGTGAAGTCCTTTTTGACTGCAGTATTGAGTAGGCGTAAATTGCGGGGTAAAGCATAAATAGTGATGATGTTTATCTGATGGGATAAACTAGGTATTGGTTTATTACCACCGCTACATAATTTATGATTACACAAAAGCAATAATGTTTTTTCTTTATCTTATATCTTTTATGAATTTATATTTATTCATTTTAAATACTGATATATTCATACATATGTATTTTTATTTAAAGTATGTTAAACATTTGTATTTACTATAGATTTATGATTACTTATGTGTCCTATTATGTTTTTATTACATTTCTTTTACATGCGCGGTGTCTAAATTATTATTATTATTTTTTACTACACGCTTTACTGTAGTATCTTTGTTTTTGTTCTGAACATCTGTTCAATATACATTTTTAATTGTTTTATCCTTTCTCTTTTACTAAATTTTTCCTTATTTCACTTAGGCTTGACAGCTTGGTCTTGTCCTTTGATGCATATTTTTGCATTTTTTTAAATATTACATAAATTTAAGAATTTATTACATAAATTTATTTAAGCAGCAATCATTTTCATTATTTTTTTAATTTTTATTTTTGTATATACATACATATATATGTGTGTGGGTGTGTGTGTGTTTGCGTGGGTGAGTGGGTGGGTATGTGTGCATAGTTTGACTTTGATTTAATAAAATATAAATTAGCTTAAGTAAAAAAGTGAATTGGCCCACTGTTTTTAATAAAGTTATTTTAATTTGAATATTTTAATATAAATACTTTTTATAATATTCTAATTTTTTTTTAAATGTAAATAACATTTGAATATTTTTTATGTTATAGTTATTTTATATACTTTATTATACTACAAAACAATATATAAGATAAAATAATGATATAATATTATTATGTATTACTATTTTATATAAAAGTTATTATAATAATATATATTATTATAGTTATAAAACTATAAACATTTATATTTAATAATTTATTGAAACATTAAAGTTTACATTGAATTATATGTATTATATGTTTTTATTGTATTTTTGTATGTTTTTTTTTTTTTTTTTCAGTTAAAATATAAAATGACTGATGAAACACACAAAGGAAGTTTAATGCAGCCGTTTTTGTTACTAGCCAAGTCGTCTCATGGAGCTGCTTTATCACGACTTATTCAGCAAGTGACTGAATTACCAGGTATTTACAAATTTGGTGAGTTGTTACAAATGCCTAATGTGGTAGAATTATCAAATAATGAACTATTTAAAAAAGACTGGAAGCTTCTTAATTTGTTTGCCTTTGGAACATTCATGAGTTATTCTGCAAATAAGGAATGTTTTCCAGAACTGAATTCAAATCAAATTACAAAGCTAAAATTGCTATCTCTTGCGACATTAGCCTCAAAATCAAAGTATGTAAGTTATGATGAAATTAAAACCGAAATTAGTCTTACCAACACAAGATATTTAGAAGATTTAATTATTGAAGCAATATATGCGAATATAATACAAGGAAAGCTAAATCAGCAGGATCAACGTCTTGAAGTTGATTTTGTTATAGGACGTGACATACAGCCAGAAAAGGTTGACTACATTGTTACTATACTAGATAACTGGTGCAAAGGTTGTAGTAATGCAATTGTTTCGCTGGAAAAGCTGACAGAACATGCAAACAACATGAAAGACACGAAACTTCAACAAAGGAAAGTTACTGAGAAAGAGATTGATGAAGTTAAGAATTTTTTAAAAACTCAAGATCACTTAGTAGATGCTAATTTACAATCTCAAAAAGATAAAGCGAGAGGTCTTCGTAATTTAGTAAAGCCAACTTCAAGAACAAAATAGTAGAAGTTAAATTATATATTTGTAATTATGATAAATGTTGTGTCTATTTATAGCTTCTTTAATTAACTTCTTTAACACTACTGGATTTTTACTCACGAAAAACTAAGAACATTTTACTTACACAAGCATTTTGTTGTTATGTTTTTTAATTCTAGTTGTATTATTTTTTGCATTAGAATAATTGGCTATGTAGATTTTTAAAGGGATGAGTGCCAGGTAATAGTATTCTCCTCCCTGCATAGACGTATGCCATTGCGTATTTCATGCGCAAAAAAAATTATTTTTGTAGATCATTTTAACACGTAGTCAAAAACCTGTACTACATCCATCTTGCATCCTACCTAACATTCGTTAGGCTTATGTTAAGGCAGGTATTGAATACATTTATTTTTAATACAATGCACAGTTATTTTTACCTATTCTTTATTTCTATATGACGTTATACATCAATAAGGATAAGACAGGTATGTACAGACCTAAACCAGCAATGCTAAAACAATTACACTGACCAGCGGTAAATTTATTTTTTCAGGCATTGAAGTGCATCAAGTAAACCTAGCGGTTTTTTCACAGTGCACCGCGGAAGAGCATTCAACATGAAAGTTCAGGCTTTTTTACCTGGGTTAAGAGAGAGTAGCTTAAAATGGGCCCCTTTACAAGAAATTATAGAATCAACTAACTGTAACCAACCAAAAATTACAAGCCAAGTATTTTTCAGGAAATTCAATTTATGCTCTACAATTTAACATCTGAAAACTTGAAGCATAACTATGCCTTACGTTAGGAAATAACCGTTGAACAAAAATATGCTTGGGACCCATTTCACCGTGGAGGTAGCCTAAAATGGGACCCTTATTTAAATTTTGAATAAAATCTGATTATTAATCGAAAATTGGCTAACTAATTTATAAATGATACATAATCTTCTGTTCATTATTCAAATATAAAATTGACGAGTTGCTTAAACTCAATTGTTAACCCTCGAACTAATGTTGTGCAAATTAAAATTATAATACGTTTGATTTTACAAGATATCAAAAAACACTATAAACAAGTGTTTATCATAATTACATTTCAAAAATATTAAACTCAATAAAATTTAAAAGTGCTCTTTTCAAATATTTTGAAGATTTAAAAAACCTCAGTTTTATTTATTACTTATAGCGGTAATGTAGTAAAGGTTAGTTAGTTATATTATTGAATGCTTCAGTACATGAAAATGTTTTTTTCATTGGGTTTTTATTTTGATCAGTTCTTTGACGGAGTCTTTTTTTGGCTTTCGTAATTTTTTTTTTCTTTTGCCCTTTTGATTTCTTTTGTTAATAATTTCTTCCTTTCTTTTAATAACATTTTTATTGTCTTTGTATTTTGCTTTTCTTTCAAATCATATTTGTATGGACTGTTTTCCTAAAGCCTTGTGCTGATGATTTTTTTTGCGGAGTAATAACCTTTGGAATAGGAGAAACTTCTAACAAGGGAAAATATTGTTTTTTATTAAAGATTCTCATTTTGAGCAATATCTAGAATCTGCTGAGCCGAGATTTATGTTTCCAAGAAACATCTTCTTGTGCTGTTTTTTTAATCAACAAAGGAGTGTCAGTTGAAAGTGCTGAAGCAAAACCGTTGTCCGTAAAAACATTTTGATTGAGCGGGAAAATTCCTATCTTAATAAAATCATTAACCGCAGTGAAAGCAGATGTTCCCGCAAGTAGTTATTTTTACACAGTTCGGTTATTTGATGAATTGTTAAAACTGGTTCAAGATGATTTTTCAGCCAATTTTTAACCTCTTGTGTTTAATAAATCCTTAAAGACGTCACTATAGCTATTTCTAAAGGTTAAAATCTTTGGCTACAATACTGTGGAAGATACAATAAAATAACGTTGTTTTGAGCTTAATTACTTTTAGATTTGAAGTATGAGTTTTGTGCTCATCTAATATTAGCAAAACACTTCATGTTCTGTTGGGTTAACATGGTTTACAAAGTGCATGAACCAAGTAACAAATATATCACTTTGCATTCAACCTGATGTGTGACAAACAGCAATTGAACTTAGTGGCGAAGCATCCGTTAGTTCAAACTTCATGTAAACTCTCAGAAAAACAAAAAGGGGTAGCACAAAATTACCTGATGCAGTCATGTAGATTTCCACTGTAACTAATGAATAATGATTTTATGCAATTTGCCGCGTACGACGATTTCTAGATTTTTAAGCAAATAAAATAACCATTACATTTCGCGAGAGAACTTGCATTGATTTATGTGTAGATTTATGTGCCAATCTAATTGAAGAATAGACCTTTGCAACGGTATACATCGTTAGCTTCAGTAATAATCTAGACGTTTTTTTATAAGAATTATGATTTGATATTGACAGTCTTTCCAACACATTAGTGAATTTAGTTTTATAAAAATGTTATTTATCAACTTCAAGAAGTTTAAAGAATACCGTCTGCTATTACCTTTTAAAAATCGATGAGATAGAAGCATTATGTATGTTTCTCAAACATTTTTCTTATCCATTTTGATATTCTGACATGATTTCCCGGTTCACAAGACCTGTACTTTATATGCCTGTCAACAAATTTAAAAATGTCACATATTTTTTAAAATTTTGGATATTTATTGAAAGGTTTGAATTTGAATTTTTGAATCAAACCTGGTTAACTATCAATATTTACCAAAGCGATTATTAATAAAGGAGCACCATTAAAGAAATAGTATGGGTTTACCTAGTTTGTCTATCATAGGGTTTATAAATTTACTGCATTTTTCATTAACTGTTTGTTCAGTAAAAAAAAAAAATGAAACAGCCGTATATCGGTAAGTTTTTAAAAAAGTTTTGTTTAGTAGATCTCAAAATGATAAAGCAAGAGGTCTTCGTAAATAGTCGAGAGGTCAGTTAAATAGAGTAACACGTCTGAAAATATCGTTATTCTTTATTAAATCAGCATATTAATTCTTTCTTCAGAACAATTCTTAAATACATGTTTTGGTTACTTCATTTTACTAATTATTTACTTAAAACTTGTTCATTTAGCATTAATTTATTTAAATCTACCATAAATTTTAATGTTCCGCTATATATAAATATGCTTTTTGTGTGCAGAGGTTTTTCAATGGCCGACTTAAAAGGTTGCAAACTTGTTATTATATTTGACAGTAATTTTACTTTGCTTTCATTTAGTTCTATGCTCATATTTAAATCAATCAGACTTTTTGGAATAGGATCTTTAAGTTTTTTAAATTTTTTCTGCATACTTAATAAAATACTCCATCTAGTTTTACAATTTAAAATTCTAGAAAGTTCTTGCGCGATTGTTTCTTGAATATATTTTTGCCCTACTTCTCATTTTTGGTTGGTGATTTTCTGAAAAGATGTACTATCTTCTGTATTTTTGTAATTAAAAAATTTAGTTCTGCGTTTTGTAGAACAAGCTCGGTGGTGTCGGTTGCTTCTTAGTCAGCATCAAGGTTTTCATGCTCGATTTCCAAATAATCTAAAAATTTAATCCAAAATTATCTTTTTACTTGTAAATCGGTGTTGCCGATTAAAAGTAATAGATGAGCAAAACTAAAGTGGATAGCTCAAAATGCCTATATAGGTTTACTAAAATGAGACTGGCATCTCCACAATTCAATTAACAAAAAAAATCTTTGTAAATCCAAAAAGCAAAGATGCAAATTGACTGACTGCTTCTTCTGATAAAACCTTGTACGATCGTATGTCCTATTTTATCTGCAGAAACATAATATATACCAACAAAAACAAAAAAGGAAAAGAATACAAGCAAAATGTTAAGAACTTCTTACAAATGAAAAAGTCAAACGAGGATTACTCGAGGAACAAAAAGCTAAAGAGGAAAAAAAATCAAGTTAAAGAAATGTACTAAAGTCATTACTTTTACTAAAGAATCCAAAAAATACCCAAAAAGATCCGAGAAGTGCCATAAATAGCATAAATCTTACCATAAAAATGAAGAGATTGAAAAAATAGTTTTAATGTAACACATTATTAAAACATTATTAGTTCTGTTTTAAATCACAGTTTTTTATATTTGATTTTTTATAGTTTTTAACTTTATTGTTGTGCTGTATATTTATAATAATAAAATAAAAAGAAGTACTTTTTATATTGAAACCTTGTATATATACTTTAAAAAAGGTGCTTATATAAAGTAATACATACTTTATATAAGCACCTTTTTTAAAGTATATATACAAGGTCAAATTTCTTATAAGCAGCAGTATTTTAAAGCAGAAGTACCCAAATTTTATGTAAACCCACATTATCCCACTACATGAGGTAATGTGGGTCTATATAGGCATCTTCATAAAAAGGCTCTCCAGACGCATTGATAGTATTTTAAGTAACTTTTTCTGTTAAATTTGTTTAGTGTGATGTCCCATCATTTTAAGGTATCTTTTGTCAGAAAGCAGATACCTATACACTGTTTTTTTAACAGAAATAGGTAAAAATAGGCTTAGATTACTACCTACCCTACCCTACTTTATTAAATACAACTGCAGTTCAAGCTGCACATTTTGTTCAAGATTTGACAAAATATACTTTATAACTAAGGAGTGAAGTCATTTTTTATCACCTTTCCTAATAACCCAGATATTTAAGCAATTTGGAAACGCAGAACTATGTAAAAGATTACAACATCTGTGGAGTACTCCAAGATTATCTGTACATCTGGAAATTCAATGACCCCTAACAACGTCTTTAGAAAGATGTAACTACATCTTAGAATTTTTTTTCGACTCCAATAACATCGGGAAGAATTTCCTCTAGATATAATTACATCTAAACAAAATCTTCAATGTAACTACATCTGGTTAAAATAATGCATATCTAGTTAATACATTTTTTCCTGATGTAACTACATCTGAAAAAAATCATGTAGTTATTCCTAACATAGTTAAAAAAAATGAAACTACAACTGAAGAATTCTCAGATGTAGTAGTACAGATGTTGTTATACTTAAATAATCAAAAAGATGTAACTACGTCAGTTCTTAAAGTAGTTTACATTTTACACAGATGTTATTATATCAATGAATTTCAGATGTTGTTGGACAGATGTTTATTATAGCTTAGTCTATTTACAGGTGATATTGGAGAGATGCAGTTATACCTCCTCATATTTACTGATGTTGTTGGACAGATGTTATTAGACATAGCAAAAACTGATGCTGTTGATCTGACCCCAGAACTATATAAATTGTTTTTCATCAATATTTTTAAATAAATAATCAAAAATTGATATAAGATTTTATAGTTATGAAATTTCTTTACGAATATTTTCTAAATTATATTCATGTAATTTTATTTAATATAACAAAAACAAACAAAAATCGTAATAAAAACAATATATATTTAAAAGAACCAAAAGAATGTAAAAACTGAAGGTTTAATCTAAAATTTAAATAAAAATTTCAAAATTTTTTTAATAAATCAACAAAAAAAGATTTTAAATTTTGTCAATTATTTTACAAATATTTTCCATATTATACTAATATAATTCGAATTAATATCACAAAAACAAACAAATATTGTAATAAAAACAATGTATATTTAAAACAACCGAAATATTGTGACAATTAAAGGTTTAATCTAAAATATTTGACTCTCCTCTGATACATTACGTTTTAACATTTTTTGGAATTTTCATTTCACATATCTTTTACCATGTCTATTTCTTTGTTGGATGTATTGAATTCACTGTTTGACTGTCAAATTTTGATTTTTTCCATTAATTAAGACGATATGGAAAAACGAATTTTGGTAAAAGTTTTTTGTTTCCTTCCATCATGTTTTTTTCACTCATTAAGTATTGATTTTGCTTTAAGAGAGAAAAAAAAAAAACATCTAATGGTTGTAGTAGATGAGTAATTTTAGCTGGAAGACAGATTAATGTGAAATCATACTCTTCACAGACATTACCACTTTTTCAGAAAAGTGTGATGATAAATTGTTACCAATAATAACATTATATTCTTCTTTGCTTTGAATATATGGAATTATTGAAGAAGTTATAAATTATAATTGATGAAGTTTTTGCTCTATTCGTGGTGATATTGGTTGCATATCTGTTTGATAGAATATGTTTGTTACCTTTTAAAAAACTTGTCGCCCACTCTTTTCCTGGAAGGTTATCTTTTAGAAATTATATATTCTTTCTTATCTTATTCAAAAATCTTTGAGCCATAACTCTAAAATCTAATAAATCAAATGAAAATCCCCACTCCATGGTAAGTTTTAAGTTTTAAACAAAAGTATTTTTCTCCTCAATACTAAACATCTTAGATCCAACTGCTGTTCAATAACCATTTTTCATTCTATAGTTTCTACTCAGAGTGGAAATTGGAATTTTATATTTCTTTGAGACATCATAAAGAGTGAGTGTTTTGCTTTGCACTATGTAAGCAGCCTTTTTTTTTTAATTATAATCTCCCTTTAACACCCGGCTTTAAATTACAGATAAAGTAAATTATAATAAAATAGTTACAAATTAAATTAAAATCACCTAAAACCATAGTCCTAAAAAGTATAGTCTGGAAACGCAGGCCGTTTTTAATTGTTTTCATTGTTTAAGTTGAAAATCGGGTGGTCTTTGTAAATAAAGCGCAAAACAAACTTTTATGATGGCTGAAAGTTCAAAAGATTTGAATAATTTTGAGACTATTTTTGAGTTGCATCAAGACGAGTGTTATTCTATTTTTGAAGTTATTGACCAGGATTTGTTAAATGACGTTGCTGAAGAACAACATGCCTCAGATATTCCACAAATTACATTTTCCTGTCAATTTTGTAACAAGAAATGTTTGAGCTCAAGGAGGTCTCACTCGTCACGTAAATAGTAAACATTCCGATGTTTTATCAAGTTATTCTAACGTTTCATCAGATATTAGAAAAACTTAAATATCAGAAGAAATTCTTGATTCTGAAGACTTTCAGATATATTTAGAAAGAAGTGTTGCAAAGCTTTTATCAGATAATTGTTTTGAGTCCATACAAAATCATTTTAAAGTTTATGCGATTAATTTTGATATAGCTAACACAGCATACCAGATTATAAAACCGATTTTATCTTTATTTCAAGGAAATGTTGAAAATTTTTATCCAGATTTTTACAAATGTATTTTTGACAAAATTGATTCAATTTTTATAGGATTAAATACACAGTGTTCCACCTTACTTGGATTTAAAGTGTGTAACCATATATTGTCGCATCTTTCTGTTCAATCAGTTCAGAATGATACAATTTCATCTGGGAAGGGTTTTGTACTTTCAAATAGGGATCGATCTGTTATTGCCTATTTATGTGGGTATGTTTTTAGCACATTATATCGGTGCATCAGGTTTTCAGATATTTATAAGGAAGAATACTATCAACAGTATGTATCTATTTTACTTGCTGCTAAATATCAAGGTAGTGATGATTTGCCTGAGCACAAACTTGTCAACACGCGTAACAGATCAAGCTTGTGGAAAATGAAAATTGAGGCAATTTGTATTTTTATTACCGCTGAAACAACCTTTAAAAAAATGGTTAGTAAGTCTATCAAAAAATTGACAGCAAAGATTATTCTATCCTCACTTCTTAAAGATACAAATGTTTTATCTAATTTTTCAAGAATTAGAAGTGAAACTGATACTTTTGTTAATAAAGAAGTTTGTTTAAATGTTCTTGAAGACATCTTGAATTTGTATGTGAAAGCAAGGACATTTTCCTATGTCAAGGATAATCTACAGGCTTACAAAATTAAAGTTCAACAACTCAAGTCAAAGTCACTGCGAAATTCACTAAAAAAGAAGAGTACTTATTAATATGTATATTAATAAGTATGTATATAATCAACAATATGTAAATTTCACATTTGACAATTGAAAACAATTATCTGATATTATCTCTTAAATCAGCTATTTTCATAGGTACAAATGGCTAAAAATATTTTTGTGGTATCAGAATATAAATATTACTAGTTTTTTATTAAATTGTTTTCTTTTCATTAAAAAAAAGTTTTCTATAATCAATCCAATTAGTCAAATAAGGATTTTGCTTTGCAAAAAAATTTAATAAATGGCAGTTGAAATCAAAATATAACAGTATAAAATTTACAGAGACTTTATTTTGTGGGGATTGGAAACTTTACATAGTTGATAAATTTTAGATAACATTTAGGGCCAAGATGGTTTTTATTACAATATTCCAAGTTTTTTCAGAAACTTTCCTATTTATTTTGAGCTTATTAAGTTTGCTAATTAAATTTTTTTATTTAATAAAATTAAGTTAAAAAATCAGTCTGTTTATTATAATTTACTTGTTATCAACAAGAAAATCATATCTCACAACTAAAAAATCCGTTTAGAGTAAACTAATCTTAAAATAAATATAAATACACTAATGAATATTTGCACCCACCCATTTATTAAGTTCTCTCTCCAGTTAGAAATTTTTAAACAAGAACATTTATTTTGCACAAGATCAATATATATTTTTTGAGAGTATATGAAATAAGCAATTATAAGGGAGGGTCAAGGTTTAAAATTACGCTGATCAATCATGTTTTGAAGTCAGAATTTATTTTCACAAATTCTAGCTTTTGTTTGCTTTTTTTTTTTTTTTTTTAATTTTTTTTATTTAAAAAGCTAAATCTTTATGAATTAAAATAGATTGTGAAAAATTTTACATGAGTATTGAACTTTAGTCCGATAATCTTATGTAACACATAAGCATTAAAATCTTTTTCATCATTTTTTGAGCCCCTTTCCCCTTGTAATCAAGTTTAATCATTCAGTAGACTCACTCTAACTTCACTTATAACTCCAATACTCTTATTTATATAAACATTTGTTTATACTTATGTCAAAAAAGGATGCTTTGCAAAAAATTGCGATGATTGGAGCCTAAGAACAAAAATGACCCAAAATTTTTTGCCCCCCTGCCCCAATCATTAGAGCAACAATTTGGTAAAATATTTTTGTACATTTCTCAACTAGGTTTATAATCATTGATAAACTTTGAATGTCATAGTGAAATATTTTAGCGTTCAAAAATTAAGACCTTACAAAGTTTGAACCTTTCTGAATTTAAGGGGGTTACAAATTTAATATGGTCATAACTTTTAAACATTAAAAGATTATATTATAAAACTTAAAATTTATTGATAATTATGTCTAGTTGAGAATAATACATAAAATATTTTATCAATATTTTATTCTTTTCTCAGGATTGGGACAGGGTGGAAGAAAATTTTAGAGCTTTTTTGTTCCCAGGCTATAATTATTTATACTTTTTGCAAAGTATCCCTAATTGACGTAAGAATAAACATAAATCTTTGGAGTTTGCTTAATGTCTGGAAGCTAGCTATCTCAAAGATTAAAAATGCTACATCTCCCCTGATGTATATTGAAATTGTCTATATTTTTTAAAAACAGGCAAGAAAATTCAATGTTTTCTTTCAAAAAAAATGCTTAACAAGCGATCTTTTTTAACATAAATGCTTTGTTTTTACTAAAGATTTAAAGCAACTATATAAATAAAACTGGGGCTATTATCTATTTACATTTTTTTAACTTTAGTTAATAATTATGAAATTTTAGCCTCAAATTGTCTACTACACTAGTGTTGACCTTGCGTTATCAGCAGGGTCGACACTATTCAAGCGAGAAATTTTTTTATATAATTACAACCCAATATAAAATTATTTAAATTTATTTATCTTTTATTGATCAAATCAATCAATATTGGGTCATGAAGTATCTGTTCATTCAGCCAATAATGTGTTTAACAATTTGTGGGTATGAAAATAGCCATTTTAAATAAGTGTATTATAGAGAAGTTTTTATTCGCTTTCTGCATGGTACTGGCGCTCTTCATTAATTTCAAAATGAACCTCTTCCTTAGAATTACCATCTTTTATAGGTCGGAAGACTTTTTGATTCCCAATGGTATTATCATTATAGCCAAAATCACGGACAAATGGATTATCTTTGCGAGAACCAATTTGGCGTTGATGTCCAAAATAATTTTCAAGTGGATCTTGACAAAATCTTTCTGTTAATACATAAGACACACCATTAGAAAGTAAAAATTTTATCAACTCAACAGCAGAATTAACAGTAAATTTAATCCCTTCATAGGTTTGCCACAATATAAACATTTTACTTTTATCATTTAGAGTAAAGTTACCTTGACGGTTATTGATGGAATTTAACCACTTTTGGAAATATGGCAAAATTCTGTTTTAAGCCGGTTAAAACGATAGACGTCAATAGAAGAAAATGGGATTAAGAATGGCTTTGACTTTTGAATTGATTCCATAGGATTACTAATATTCATAATATCAAAAAAACTGTCAATCATTGAGCAAAAGTTAGCAGTGGCAAAAGCATCTGAAGATCCTTAATTAAGAGGGACTTTACTCACAGTATTGCTAAGAACTTAAGCTGCCAATTTGATGTTCATAATAGAATAAGATGATAATTTTATGTGATCATATGATAATTTTGGATGGAAACCACATGTTTGGTCTTCTTTAAAAATGTCTGCTATGTGACTCCATAGAATGTATAAACCATCATTCCACATGTATCTAGTACATTTACCAGAGCCAGAGCTAAAAATACAGTTTCTTGTTGTCATAAGAAGATGTGGGGGGTCAGATATAAAGTAAATATACCTTTCAGGACAATATAGATTAATAGTTTTATAAGTGACATCTACATCTTTTTTATCATTAAAATTAGATAAACGTGAATGCATTTTTAAAAATTTTTGGTTAGGAGCAGCACCATCGCAAGTTGTTGCTATAACTTTGAACTTACATTCCAGTTCACATAAAGCAACAGCTTTCCAAAATAATGGAAAAATTTGGGCAGATGATATTCAAAGTGTGGCAAAATTAGCTAGTGTAAACTTAAAAGGGTTAACTATACTGCGTATCATAAATACTAGAACATGAGTTGCTACTGCATCAACTTTTTGTAAAGTTGCATAGTTTAAACCAATATCACCAAGGTCAACAAATCCTATAATTTCTCCTGTGAGTTTATCCCATACAAGATTTTCTTGAATTTTAATTTCATCAAACAACAATACAATATATTTTTCTATTTCACTAAAATCTTTTACTTTTGATTTCAACTACTTTACAATATCAGGATTGAAACCATGTTAAGGATGAATACAATTCTTGTAGTCACGAAGACGACGACGACTTGGTAATACAAGAAAACCAGTACCAGACTTTTTATCAAAGCGAATATCCTCATATGCGCTAGGAAACGTTGCACAAAGGCTTAGGCAATACCGTATAATCATAGGATGATATCGAACAGATGTTGGATTTGATAATAAGTATTTTTGTTGCTTATTCCAAAAGAACTTCATAAATGGTGAAACATATTTTGAAAAAGCATTTGACATTAGACTTTTCATATCATCATCAAGGTCAGAGGTTACTTGAAATGAATTTTTTTGAATTTCTTCTTGCATAATTTTTATTTCTTGTTTTAAAAAAGCATTTTCAGATCGATAGTTTTGCAAAGTAAGTTTAATTCTATCAGGTGAAGTAAATGAAATTGGGGCATTCAATTGAGCAGGTTTTGTGATTGTTTCAGCTTTACGTTTTACAGCCTTAAGATGTTTATTATTATGTGACAATTCCAAAGTTTTACATTCATTACAAATATTACCAGATTTTATCAATAATAAACACAAAGTTGACCTGTTAAATTTAGTCTCAAATGTAGTAATTGAAGAAACACTTGGGTTGTACAACTTTGTAAGAATATGCTTTTTAAAAATATTTGAACCAAAGGCAACACCCTGACATAATGAGTAAGTTGATAAAAGAGTAATAATATTCGATAAAGTAATGTTTTTAACTGATTTGTTATAATTAGAATATATCTCATGCTTATCTGGTAAGTTCCAAGCAAAAGATCGTATTGTAAATAATAGGCTAGGTTGAATATATACTTCATATTGGGGTTGTAGGTGAATATTATCTAATTTGAAAACTTTGACTAAATCTTTTGATATAACAAGTTCCCATGATTCCAACATAAGGGTGCTGACACAATCTACAAATTCTGAAAACGATTTATAAAAAAAATGTACATCATTTTGAACTTTGTCAATTTCACAGCAATCTTTTTTCAACTCAATACTCAATGTTGGAAGTTTTGATATTGCTAAGGAACTAAAAAAAAGGAAAAAGAAAAAACTACTTTTAAATGAAAAATTAAAAATTAAAAAATAAATCTTTTTAAAATTTTTACCTAGATGTTTGAACACTCCTTTTTGGTAAATTTTTTGAAGGTAAAGAACCTGGTAAAAGTCTTGCTCTAGCTGAATCTATAAAAAAATGTTATTTCAATAATTTCAAAACAATAAACTAATAATAGAGTTATTTAAAATAATATTTATAAATGCTATCAGAAATATAAACATTTATACATATATATATATATATATATATATATATATATATATATATATATATATATATATATATATATATATATATATATATATATATATATATATATATATATATATATATATATATATATATATATATATATATATATATATATATATATATATATATAATTTATATACATATAATATCAACTTTAAATTGTCAACAACAAAAGTCTAGTGCTTTTTTCAATTAATAGATATAGTTGTTTTACTCACAAGTTTTAATCCAATACCGATAAATATAACCATTAAATATTACTTTTTATAATACATTTTTATAATATTTATAAATATTAATTTTTTATTTTAAAAGCAGACAAGTAAGTTAATAAAAATACTGCAAACATAACAACTTGATCTAAAGAATATATAGCAAGCAGTTTAAGCAAAAAAAAAAAATTATTTCCAAATAGCATCGTTCTTTTCAAATAGTCCCAAAATTACGGTATTTGGAATTTGACATTAAACTTGTGATTAAAGATTTTAATATTGTGATAACAAAGTATATTAGTGTTATAAATTTGTAAAAGACCCCCTATATTTGGAAATGGCCTCCTAAATTCGCTGCCTCCCTTCCAATTAGGGTATGTGTGTGGTATCATAGCCATGACTCTAGTTGTTAAAATGTTGTTATGTTTGTTTTGTTATCACAGTAATGCTAAAACACTAAAAACATTTATAAAGCGCATATCGTGTGTAATTTTGATATTTTTATATCAAAATTAAAAAATTTTTATTTAATTTGATCTAATGTTTTTTGCAGCTCATTGCAATGCACGTTGCATGTTGCACGTCATTTTAAAGATAAGCAAATGGTTAATTGCACAACTTTCTTAGTTCGAATCACCTTTATTAATCTCGATTTATTTCAATTATTCTATTTTTTATTACAAAAGATTTATAACTAATAACTTCAGAGTTTTATCTTGATTACTTTGATTACCTTGATTGATCTTGATTACTTTTCTTGATTACTTTTATTTATAAAACAATGGATTTAATTATGTTCTAGTGAAAACAATATAACTATGTTCTAGTGAAAACAATATGATTAAACTAATTTTATTTACGATATTCAAAAGCTGTCTCATAATCAAAGAATATAAAAAGTAAAAATTTCTCATGATTTAATACAATGTTTACATAAAATTTAAAGGTAAATTATTTTTAACACAAGTATATGTTAAAAATGTTTATAAAGTCGTTTAATTAAAACAATGGCAAAAATACCAGATAAATCTTAGAACCCTTTATCTGAACAGAAAACTCCTAACTCTGTGGTGCTGATACAAGTTTATTTTAAGTTTTATTGTTACAAGTAGAGGAAAGTGGAGGACCATGATACATAGGGCACAATTAAGATGTCTCCATATGAAAGTGTTTGTGACAAACATTTTCATATTATGAAGCAGTCATTACTAGAGCTGTATGATAATTCATTAAATTTGTCTAGAAATATATTAATTGAATACTAGTGATTTATTCGTTAAATATGTCATGAGTACCCATATGAAGTTGCGCTTCTTTTAAAAATAATAATATTTTCATTTAGCTGTTCTAGATACGTATATCTTTTAGCAACCAGATACTTAGTTAGCATCCAGATTCTTCGTTCAATATAGGTGGGTTTAAAATCCAACTAAAATTTATTCGAAAATGCATCTAAAAATGTAAATGGATTTCGAATAAATTTTATCGGATTTTTAACCGACCGACGTTTTGAACAACAATTAAAAATTTAAGTAGTTATTGTTTAAGCAATTATAAATAGAAATTAAAAAAAAACAAAAAATATTACAAAAAAAGAATGGCAATTTGAAATTATATCAATAATTTATAAAATAATAATGTTATTTGAAATTTGTTTAAGTAATTGTAAAACGTCTGAAAAAAATGTTTTATGTTATGAAATAACTGGCTCACTTAAAACAAGAAATTGATAGATCAGATTAATATTTGTTGCTCTTCTGGATGTTTTTTTGGCCGAAACTTTTGTCATAAGTTTTTATATCATGCTTCTTGAGTTTCTTCAGACAAAATTCTATGGGTAGTGTACTTGAATTATGTCGTGTCCGTGTATCAATACTTTGCGCTCAGATTGAGTCTCAATTATTTTACACTTTTAGATTATGTCTCTTTATCTGTGTTATTACATGCCTCAATGATTGAACCATGTTATACCATAGATAAAAAGATACGCATAATCTAAAAGTGTTAAAACAATAATCCTTAAACTTTAGGCATTCGATTTTGTATTCTAAAGATAGTGATACAAGGATAATTTAAAATTTAAATTTAAGTTTTTTATCAATACCCAGAATTTCTACTGTTTATTTATATGCTGCAAAAGTATATAAACAAGCGCGCCTTGAAGTATTTCCGTTGTTGCTTAGAACAGAACAACAACTTTTGGGGAAATCAACACCAATTACCATTTTGTTCATAAAATCTAAATCTTCTGTTTAGTCAAAGATACCTTTTCTTTATGTTCTTTAGTTCTTTTATGTCACTTTCTTTGTGTTCTTTAGTTCTTGTATGCCACGTTCTTGTTTCTTTTTAATTTGCAATGTGCAAAATTATCTCAAAAGATCGATTCTATGCATAGAGACTGGAAAGACCATTTTTGAATTGAGTATATTCTGTATTGGAGGTATCAAGACTATTCATACTTTTTGGACAGACACCACTTACTGTACAAAATTATGATAAATTATTTATTCCAGATAATATAGTTTGAACCGTCCAATCAATCATTGTTGGTTCATAAATACAGTTCACTTCGATAGGAGACACAATCCACAATCCTTGATAATTATTAGTAATTAAATTACAAATAACTGCCAAAAAAATGTTAATGCTATTCAAAGTAAAGTATTTCTAGCAACTAAATAATAATAACATTTACCTAAAAAGTGTTTTAATACACACGCCTAATACAGTAAAAAACAAATTAAAAAAAAAAATATTTAAGTTCTAAAAAAGACGGTATTGCTATGCAAAATTAGGTCCATAGCAAAAAATTTAAAACATGTATAAAACTAGAATGAAGACTTATGGGGACCAACAACCTGTAAAACTCGAAATGGAAACTCGAAAATAAAAATCATATAGCTGAAATAAATGTAACAGCACACGTCAATAATAGTCTACTATTGAGGTATTCAAAAAATGATTACTTTACTTAGGTCATGATTACTTCTCGATAGCTCAAACAGTTGTTAAAACTTATCCAGTCAACTTTTAAGAAAATAATCCACTAAGGATTACAGCTTTCTAAGCTTAAAAACAACTATTAGTTGGTTGATATTTATTATCAAAGTTTTAGACAATCTCTAATATATGTTTGAATTATATCTTTTGCTTTTTTGCTTCCTATTGAGCTATAGGTTTGTTACGTTCTTAAAAAACATTTTTTCGGCAAGGAACTTATTTTATCTCTCCATAATTTTATTTTGTGTAGTAGAATTTTTGCACGATTTAAAAACAAATAGCCATATTTTAAAAATAGGAAATACCTTTTAATAAATCCGTCAAAAATACAACTAATTCTAATCTAGATATTTATTAAATCAATTAACAAATGTCTAGAAATTTATTAATAGTTGTTTCAAAAACACAATATAAAAAAATAACTATACATAAAATCTAAATCAATAAATATTGTTTACCGATTTTTCTAAACTTGAATTTTCTGTTTGCAATGCTTTGATTGCTTACAACATTTTGATTTTTTATTTGACATAATCAGTACACCGTATTTTATAAATTGGAATGCGGTTGGTTAACTTTAAATTATGGTAATTAAGCTGCAATGATATATAATTATACTAGATGTCTAATGGCGAGTTTCCACTCATCCGTTTTTCAACGGGAACGGGATAGGAAAGGCAAAAATAGTCACGTGAGCATGCGTAATAAAAAGTTTTATTTCTCCGAAAGAAAACTGCGCATGCTCGCGTGATTATTTTTCTGTTCCTTTTCCCTTGCCCGTAGAAAAACGGATGACTGGAAACTCCCCTTTACATACGAACGAAAAGTGAATCCGCTTTTTTTGCTTACAAATTTAATTCGCCATTTATAAAAAGGGAAAAGATTATATAGTTAATGTTGTGGAAGCCATTTCTAATAAGGGTTAAGGCGGCTGCACTTTTTAGATTGAAGTTAGACATTTAGTATATATAATATATCACTGTTACGCAATATTTTAAGTTTCTATAAAGAATAACTGCTCCGTGAAAAATGACGTACTTTTACATTATCCTCCCTCCAGCTATAGTTACAACAGTGGCATTTAAAGGATGCTTTTTAAGATATTTTTTCCAATTTTTTTCCAAATATTTTTACATTGTATAAATATAGTTATTTTATTGAGCTGACGGGCTATAAATAGCCCGTCAGCTCAATAAAATATTATAATAATAAAAGCCGAAAAAGTTATTTAAAAAACTCTTTTTTTTTAAGTTTTCTTTTAAATTCTAACTTACATTTTCAAAGACTTTCTAGATTTTACTGAAAACTATGAGACATATGAGTATATATGTATATATATATATATATATATATATATATATATATATATATATATATATATATATATATATATATATATATATATATATATATATATATATATATCGCATACTAACTATTTTTTAAATGAATGTGTGCTGGCAAAAGTTGACTAATCACGTTAAAAAGATGATTAATCATGATGCGTGTGATAAATAATTGAATAAATAGATCATTTTCATCAATTTTGATATATGCTTTATAATATATATTTTTCAGCATATGTATATATATATATATATATATATATATATATATATATATATATATATATATATATATATATATATATATATATATATACATATAATATATATATTTTTCAGCATATATTTATATACAC